TTATTGTAACTAGCTGTAACCCGCGGGCTTCGCCCCGTTTAACTTCTTAATTTTCAAGATTATCTCGTTCGCATGGCTCAATCACGTCCTGGTTTAAGTTTGTTCGCTACGCTCACTCACCTTTAGGTTGGAGTTCGTTCGCTACGCTCACTCACCTTTTGGTTGCAAATTAACTGTTGTCATAAATGTAAAAGAAATAATAGGTAGTGCTGCACCCTGTTGGTAATCCTTGTAACTTTAATGCTATTGAACATCATAGAACAGAACCAACTTGTTTAATTGAAACAACTGTTAAGATTCAATAATTCCATTTCTCATAAGGTTAACATGGGAAACTCCAGAGCCACTGGGGCGGAGCCCGAAAGGATTTTTTAAATATGAATATGCCTATATGTTAATCGGGAATGTGAGCCATCATCATGCCAAATTTCAGCCCAATCCGACCAGTATTTTTTGCGTTCACTTGTCACAAACATACATCCATACATCCATACATCCATCCATCCAAACTTTCTCATTTATAATATTAGTAGGATTTTCATACGGAAAAAGGAAGTATAATCTGATGATAAATACTTAATGTTTATTTTTGTAGGAAAATAATACCACTCGATTATTTTTAGAAATTGTTTGTAATTCATAGCCAATCCTATATATTAATAGGCAAGCTAGCCACCATCATTTCTACATGCTTCTCATCTAATCCACCAACCTGTGGATCAAATACAAAGGTATTAATGGTATAAGAAGACATTTTACATGGAATTCTTAGTCATTGATGCATAACTAGGCTTTGCTCTTGATTAGCGCCAGATCATAGAATAAACAAGGCATAAAATAGATAATTGGAAGTTGGAACATGAATGTGAATCTTATCGACTTGAGTTAGACCAATCAGTTTTAAAATAATGTACTTAGGTTGGACCTCAAATAAAAGGGAGTCTATGGTACATTTAAAAATGCAAATCAAATTGATGTAAAAAATTGCAGCGACTTTTTTCTAGATGCCCCTGGTGGAATTAGAAACATATTCCTCTTGTCATTAATTTTAGCTCTCAGTTATTCAATAATTTTGTTATCACATAGATTTTAGCGATTTTTGTTTGTTTATACAATAAAACAAGTTGGAAACAAACCTTTTAAGTGTTTTTTTGTTCTAAGCCCTCAAGCTTTAGTTTGTTATAACATACTGGGAAGGTGGCGTCGTCCTGTAATCCAACTACTCTAGGAGGTTACGAATTGTGGATATTTTTAGGCATGCACTGTGGATGTGATGCTCCCTGGTGTGGATTAACGTCCGCACTAGTGAGTACTACGGCTATCCGCAGTACTATACCATACTGATAATTAGACTGTAGGTCACTTAATTGCCATTGGCTGTATGGGCGATTAACACGGCTGTGTCTAAGGAACATGTCAGCCTTAATATCTAACAAGACTAAAAGATGGAGCCACTCATCCTTCACTCATATTTTGGTTAAAATATGCACATAGTGACGTCCCCATCTTAAATAATTGATTTAATTGAAGCTTTAAAACACAATCGGTAGTAGTAGTAATTAAATTTCAATGTAGTTGCACTAGTCACACTTTGCTGATCACAAAGCTAGTATTGATTATCATTCCATAGTTGATAACCACAATTTTTTTCAGGAACAGTTGCACTAGTGAGTGGAGAGCCACAAGATTTATTTTTCCCAGACGAATCTCCAGGTAAATATGATGATAGTGCAAAAATCATGACCAAAATCATTTAGTGCACAAATATTTAGCAAAGAATCAATTTTTTAATCTCTTGAATTTTACAATAAATTAAAGCACCTATTCAACAATTTCTATACCTAATTAAATAAAACTACACAACACCATAATATTTTAATGGAAAATTTACACTCATAATATTGCAGAATTATAGTAGTACAAATTTACCAATGGAAAGACCAGACTTGATGCTAAGCATTCACAAAATTTAGTTCCGCGAAGTTTCCTTAAAAATCTATTAAACTAAGCCAGATGTGTAACTCACTCAATCACTGATCAGGTATATCTCTTCTAGGATAGCTTGAGATCTGAAATATGGTACAATTTAAGGTATTGGTGCCAATCCATGCAGAAAATTCCCATAAGTGACTTTTCAAATTGAAACCCCCCCCATAAAAATTTAAAGTGGCAGATTTTTGAAATTCTAAAAAGACGTTTTCTTAAAACACCTATAGCTCAAAAACGGCCAGAGCTAGTAGATTTGAAAGAATTATCATGGTCAAGAATTACAATTGTCTACAACTTAACCCTCTTCGGTGGTTTCCAAAAATCACCCCACTTCGTCCCCAAAAAACACCCTTCATACATTTTAAAATTACAGTACTTGGAATATCAAGGTGTTTTTAATTCTTATAACTACTTTTTGGACATATATTTGTGCTTTTAATGCTCCAAACTGTGAGGGGAAATCCCAAAAGTGACATTTTAAATTTCAACCCCCCCAAAAAAATGTAAAATGGGGGGATTTAAAAAAGGCTGTTTTTATAATGCTTGTTAGGCCAAACTGTTAGCTCTTATGGAGCATAAATGTGGTTTCAAGCAGACTAGAGACTTTAAAATCATAAGGTGAGTAGGTCATGGGCATAAATCAACGGTTAGATAGTGACAAATCCCATCTTAACACCCCCCCCCCCCCTTAAAACTCATTGCCAAGACAACAACTACTTTCGAGCTGTCATTGGTTTGAAACGCGGAAAAAACCCCTTAGAACATTCTGTCCCCGTGGCACTTATGGCTCAAATAAAGAGGGGGCGGAGCCCACAGCAAGTCGAAGGCGAGTGAAAAATATAGGTTTTCGAACATAATTAGTTCACAATGCTTTATCAAGTCAATCAATGCTTCAACTGTCCTAATTTGTGATGAAATAGCAATGTCTTATTGATATTTCTACTATTTCTTATGTACGCCATGAATTTATTGGTACAGTAGCCCATATTTGAAAACAAACAACTCTTCTACACAACACTTACTTCACCAACACTTTTTTTTTTATTGAAAGTTTTTGACCTGCTGGAAAAATTGTAATGAAAGAGCCATTGGCACGGTCCCTTAGTTCGACAGATCGAAACTACAGTAGATTCCCTCTTATCCGGACACCTTTTAACAGGACATAGGTTTAACCGGACTACACTCGCCGGAAATGAAATCTCTTTAACCAGACAATTTTTATCAGCACATCGGTTTAACCGGACTAGATCGGCAGGAAGTGGGCGGTACTGAAACAATGCTCTCCTAAAATTAAGTCAAATACTGTATACAGTATGCATTTAAACGGTCTGTTTTAATGAGTTTTTGGGGACGTCAGTTTAATCGCAAAACCCGTTATCCGGACTGGCCTCAGTCCTGAGGAGTCCGGATAAGAGGGAGTCTACTGTATACAACAATGTTAACTGTGAGTAGTCATGTCCCGTCATCGTGCCACTAAAAGTCTATCAAAACTTTTGGTTCAGTATTTTATATGTTCACTCTCACAGCCTACTAACAAAACTAAGTACATATTTTCTTTTACATCACTGATCATTCACTAGTTTTCTTTCAAAATACGGAAAATAAAAACCGATTGATATTTAATACCAATCCAACACGCTTTTCAAAATGCTTTTCAGATAGATTTCCTACAAGTTCAACCCCCACCCTGCCTCCAGTAACCGGGGCTGTTTCCAATAACCCGGCAGTAACAACAACCACCATCAGGTCTACCAGGATCCCACCCAGAGACCCTGGCAACCGCATCGTCTACCTTGTGTCATGTGATTGTAAGTTCACTTACGAGTACAGTCCTGTCTGCGGCACTGATGGGCAGACTTACGGCAACATTGGTGTGCTGCGCTGCACTCGACAATGTGGGAAGAGTAAGTTTGTAATTGAGTGCACATTCTGTAAGACTTACATAGTAAATTAGTTGATTAATGTGAAAGTAAATTACCAAGTATAATTTAGTGGGTATGATATGGACAGTAGATCAGACTTGAATATGAGAAGTAGTTAACATTTCCGTACCATGTTGAAGTGAGCCATCGACATTATGACGCTGTCCATTAAGTTATGTCATATTTTGTCACTTTAAACTAAGCTAAATTGAAACAATAACTTACTGTGAACCATTTATAGTATCTTTATGACACAATCAAATTGCCCAATTATAACGACAAAAAATTGAATTTTGACATTAGCAACCTCTGTGAATGGCCTCATTCGACTATATTCTATTCTTGTACTAAGAAATTAGATAACTTAGTAAAAATGGTTTTACTTGAATAAAAAATTACTACAGTTAGTATACCTATATGTACCTTAGATTTCAAAGTTAATACTGTAGGCACATTGAATTAACCAGGGTGTATTGAGAAACATGTAACTTAAATATGTTAAAAATAAATACAAAGGAAGTATGTAGGCCTAAATACATTAAAAATCTAGCTTCACAATAATAAATTCTAATCACTAATCTATTCAAGCTCAGCCTTGTTTGTGCTCTGTCTAATAGGCTATCCAGTTCAAAAAAAAAAAACTTTTAAAAAATTTTTTTTTTAAATGAAGGCTTTTAAAGTTAATATGACGTTGTTTTCAGATGTAGATCTTTATCTGGTTGGAGCATGTGGGTCCAACAACGGCTGAATTTTTTGAAGATGTGAAAATAACAGATTTTTCAACATTTGTATTTAAATATTTATGTTATTACATTAAATTATTATTATATTATTTGTGTATTAATAAAAAAGTAAGTTTACAAGTGGTCCATATTGTTTCCTTTATATTGAGACTTATTTTGTATGGGCGATTCCAATTAATTTATTAGCCTAAGTGAATTCCCTCTATATAAAGCTGTTAAAGTGGGAAATACGGAGACTCATAATCTTGAGTACAATATAACATTTCTTTTCAAAGTAAAAGAAAATTTAAAAAGTACCTACCATTAAATCTAAACTAAGTTTATTAAGTTTCACGGTTGAGGTTTATGTGATCCTTGTCTAAAATATCCTGTTCAAGACAATTGAAGTCTTAAAACCAGAAAAGGTTGTTCTTATAATAATTGACGATGTTATAAATGTGATAAAGATAATTGACGTAGGGGTATTCAAAAGCAATGACCATAAAATAACATGAACACAGTACAAATGTGGAAAAAGATAACATTATTAGGATTTTAAGAAAATCAAACTAGTCCACTTAAAGTTTTAATTTAAATTAAGCTACAAAATAATACAAATTAGGAAACTTTATAGTATCCAAAACTATAAAAATACAACATATACATTACAATTACAAATCTTAAAAACATTAGGTCATGTCTTCAACTGCATTCTTACGATTGAAGTTTTTTGCATGAGACTAGAAACAGCTAACCCCAGATCATTTCATTCAGAATCTCCTGAAATTTTATAAACTACGCCCAAAGAAAATTACTGACATGAAAAAACTAAATAAAAAATAGACTATGTTAATACTTGCAATAATTGTGATGTTCAAATTGAAGAATTTATGCTACATGAATGCTCAAAATGCAAAAATATCTTCCCTGACCCATCTTTCCGAGGATTTTCATATTCTTTGATAGAATTTTGACAGTATTTGCTTAACCCCACTGATCTTCTGTTCTTCCAAACTTGTAAACAAGTGAGCCTCCAAAGATGAAGACATTTTGAAGAAACAGTCCACTTCCAGCCCAAAAAGGCTTACCAGCTAAAACATTGAAAAGCCATTGTTAGTTGAAGGTTCCCGAAAAGCACTTTTAAAAAATACAAAAGAAATAAACACATTACTTTAGCTATTTTATTACATCAAAACTGCCATATATGATGTTGAAATTGATTTGGAAAATAAAGGTCTACCATTAGAATCGATATGAATACATTACAAACTGTAACAACATTTTTCAAAGTCCCAAGTATGATCTAGCCTAATTGATTAAGATAATGTTTGAAAAATACTAACACTCAATTCATGACCTCATAGGACTAATGGCAAAAGCGTTTAAGATAAAGTACCTAAAAGATTTATTTGATAACTAGCTCTGGAACCGTCCTACACACGGGGATCAAATAGTCAGTTCAAACTGTAATTTAAAATTCAGAACATCTTTTGGTTCAGATATCGAGCTAGAATTGATCAAGAGCTGCAACAAAAACAATATAATTCACATTTTAACCTGCATAAAGGCTAATTCTGAAATTTTTAATGTAAAAGAAAACCACATTGTAAACATTTTTAAAATTCATTAGGCCTATGCATGCATTTTAAATTTAAAGACAATAAAACGGCAAAATCGTCAATGTGAAAAGCCTTGACCTGAATTTGGGGGCTTATCTCCATACTAAACAGTAATTTTATAGACTCCAGGTATTTCAATAAGGAGGCCTACACAGAAATCTAGAACAATCACTTTCTCCCAGAAATCTAGAACAATCACTTTCTCCCCCAACTAAAAAATGTAGGCAACATGTCTTAAAAGTACTTACATGAACTGACAAAGTCCTTCATCAGGATCCAACAGGCAGCGATTATTGGAACGAAGCCAAGCACAAATCCGATGAAGAGCCAGACTCGAGCACCACGCGGTCCCACGCAGCCTCCCGAGTAAGCGTCTCCCCGAACTTGCGCATTGGACACCATGTTGATCCTGTCATCAGTAGTAGAGCATGATTCAACAAAAATTACACAAACTACAGTTTGAACTTTGGGGTGTCAGTCACAGAAGTCACAGTAAAACCTCACTAACTCGGCAATTTGTGAACCTAGAGGTTGTCGATTTTGAGGATTGTAACATTTATATTTTAATGGGTTTTAATAAATGAACACATAGCAGACTAATTGCTACATATAAATGTATTAGGTAAGTTACTTGCATGAGTAGGCCTACTTTTGCACATTGACTAAACAGGAAAAACAATTTTTGAGAGACATTTTTAATATTCAGTAATTAAAACTTGAAAGTCAAACACAAGAGTAAGACATGGGGCCAGTTAGACGTCAGCTCTTAACTTTTGAGTTAGTGAGGTTACAGGCTAAGTTATGTCTACATTTTCAGTGGTGCTCATTGACTAAAAGGATTAAGTATGTAGGCCTATATCTACATAAATTTGAATAGTTAAACTTCTTGAAATCTTAAGCTTACTTAATACACTAAATAATTTCTTAACTTACATAAAAAGTGATATGGTTCCAACGATTCCCCACACATGGTACAGCCCATCAATAGAAGATGGGTACTTGGCATTCGCATCAATCATAAACCACCATCCAGAGAAGAACTAGAAACAAAGATTAATTTATTAACTAACTAGTGGAACCCCGTCGAAATCGACGGTTAATCTTGAGGTTTTGTATAAATTCAGCTAACTGCGATAGATAGGTGAAGTCATTAAAATCTTAGTTAAATTAAGGGAGGATGAGCAATAATAAGTATGGCGATTGTGTTCCCTAAAAACCGTGATTGATGAATTCGTTTAACACAATATTTCCTACCTTTTTATCGGCTTTAGGTTGCCCAAAAGTTTTTTTAGGAGTCTTATAATTGTTTTTTCATGAGTTTGTTTCATGTCAAAGCCACTTTCACTATATGGGAGAAGGAGTTCATATAATTAGTCTATCATGTTACGGATAGAGTCAATATTTATTACTAACAACTAATTCCATCTGCTTTAGGAAAATCATTCAGATTGTATCCGGATTTGTAAGTAAATCTTCATCTTTGGTCATAAAAATACAGAATTTTATCAGCTTATTAAATTAGTTGTTTTTTGTATTTGATAAAAATATCTGATTCTCCAGAAAGCAGTAACATTCTTACTTCGATCTAAGCATTTTTAATTCCTTCTCTTGCCACATTGACCCATGTATTTAATCATCCTGTTCTTACTTGATAATTCGTTAACTTATGGGGTAGTTTTGCGTTGGCCATATCGATCACATAAAGCTGTGCATGTATTTCGTGGATGGAATGAACCATAATTATAGGAAATTTGATCACAAATCTTGAACATTTGCGGAACGAAATCCATAACCTAGTCCAGCCTTGGTAACAAATTATGCAAATGCGATGAGATGTGATGACACTGTTGTGTTTCCGAATGTTTTGTATATAGGTAATGAGTTTTTCACCACACTATGATGTTTTTGGCTGTATTACATACGTTAATTGGTGGCTGAAAGTTACGTTTTGCTGGCCATGCCAGCTGTCGCCAATTTGGGGACCGAGCAGGTTTTTACAGGCCGGGGCCGCAAAATCAGCTGTCCTCTTACTTAATTAAAACATGAATGCGTTTTAAATACACAATCAAAATCCATAGCATTGCAATATAGAATTGTGTTATTGTCACCGTTGCCTAGCAACTATTTATTTATATTTTTGCTGATTCCTCAAATTATTTCTTCACATAACCTTAAAGTTGTAGTTGTTGACGATCAGTGTGCATTATTATAGTGGTGAATAGTGGTAATAGGGTATAGTGTGGTGAAAAATAGCGTTCGTACCACGGACCGAAATGGTTTTGCAGCTCTCGATCGATTTAAGTTCTCGACTTCGTCTCGAACTTAAAAACTATCTCGAGCCGGCAAAACCTAATTTTCGGCCCTAGGTACGAAATATACTATTAGATGCGTTGTTCGACCTAGCTACATGTGTATATCAAAGTAAAAACCCTGTACACATTTTTTTAAATACCTGAATTGACATTAGTTCAACTACTTCAACAAAACCATAGATGAAACATACTCCGTAGTTAGTCTATTCCAAAAATTGAACACAGCTCTCATCCTCAACGTACTCATCTATGACACAATTTTCAACCCGATTATCGAAAACTTTTATACCAATAAATGAATTTCTGGTGTTCTTTCTTGAATTCAAAAATAAATGGTGATTGAAAGTTGGCAAAAAAGGCAAGTGCCAACCTTACAATATATATACGGTAAGCTAACCCGATAAGGAATAATTATCTATTCTTTCGAAATTGATATGTCACACTTATTTCATAATTTAAAATTGTCTAAGAGCAATAAAGCATAGATTTTTGAACAGAACATTTAAAACGTATAATAAATTCATCATTTTGTAGAAACTATAAAAAACTTGCCATGCAGTGCAGAATCAATTTAAAATCATAAATAATAATGTAAACATTTAATTTTGACAGTTTCAGTAGACCTTTGAATAACAACTGGTTCATTAAAAGTAGTGTAAAATTTTCCATATGGTCGTAATGTAAACAAAATTGCAGAGTGAACTTTAAAGGCCTCTGGGGCAGAACCCCAAGAAAATTTGCCTCGTTTCTCTTTTGAGGGCTCACCTACAGACCAATACCTTTCTTTAGACACCCCTACCAAGTTTTTACTCCCAGCCGTTCTCTCAAATTATCTGTGACAACAACCCCGTTTTCCTCCATAAGAATAACATGGGATGGGAATTCAAAGGCCACTGGGGCAGAGCCCCGAGGGAATTCACTATGTTTCTCTTTTGATGGCTCATCTACAGACCAAGACCTTTCTTTAGACACATCTACCGAGTTTCTACGCCCAGCCGTTCTCTCAAAATAGCTGTCACAAAGAAAAACAGTTTCAAATTAATATATAGATTACCTACCTACTATTGATAACTTAAAACAGTGGATACCCTAGCTTCTTTATTTCAATCAGATGACAATATAGCATTAATTAAAGAAAAAACAGTTGTTAAAATTAGGAACCTGCATTCAAGGATTACTAAGGGAATGAGTAAAGGCCTTATACCTAACCTGCCATGTTAAACTTCCCTATCCCAAGCGTGATGTATACTAACTACACTTCTTTACTTCACGAGTGATGTAAAGTTGAAAAAACTCACTCGATGAGGTAATGAAACTCATTTAAATAACATTGAGTGTTTAACTTAAAAAATATAGGTAAGTACCTCTATGGAGCCAACGACGTTCCAACGATGCTACAAAATCAGCTGTGCGCTTGAATTTTATTGTTATGCTTTGAAGAATTTTCCTAACCTAGCTTTTGTTTGTAAATGAACGTTAGGCTACTGTTAGAAGATGAGTGAAATGGATAATGAAAAATATTGTTTGTAACCTCCTGTAGGTAATTATTTACCCTATTTACACTGGGATTTGATGTAATTTTGATATGACTACTTACAGTATTTTTAACGCTGAATCCAAAAATGCAATCAGTTTTGGTCGGAGAGATTCCTAAGTGGCCGTACAGTTATATAGGCCTACCGTAATTAATATTAAGCTTCAGTTTTGTTGATCTACTAACATATTTATGGTATGGACGCCATGAGAGCAAAATCAGAGTTACAATATGCAATAACTAGATTTTAAAAAGAAAATGGACTTTGGTGCTGTTTATAAACTACAATAAATCAACTACCATACATAAACTATTAATCACATGAACATAAATTATAAAACAAAATAGAATTTATTCATGTAAAATATCAGTAATAGAAGCTAGGCCACTGCCGACATGATCATTGTCCTTATTCCAATCCTCAACCATTGACTAATGCCTCAACGTCTGGTAATGAACGTGCCATAGTGCATAATCCCATAGTAGGCCTACATAATCCCATTGTGTCTAAAAGTGAAAACGTGCCACAGTGCATAATTTAATGTATCAGCAACTAATAAATGATGTTAGGATAATCTAATCTAATCTAATCCAACCTAACCCAACCCAACCTTAATATTAATGTTTAAATCACATTTTATGTCAGAAAAGACATGTGAGGAAGATAGGTCGGACTTTATGCGGATTCGTGACTGTATTAAGTCCTTTGAAGTGAGGTTAGATTAGGTAAGTTAAAGGTTAGGTTATAATGAACCGACTCATTAATTTATGCAACTTCCAGACTGTTTTTGCACAATTAAATAGTGGGTGAGACACAATGAAATAACGATATCAAAAATGTGCTTGCACAGTCTGGAAACAGTCTGGAAGTTGCATAAATTAATGAGTCGGTTCATTATAACCTAACCTTTACCTTCCTAATCTAACCTCACTTCAAAACACTTAATACAGTCACGAATCCGCATAAAACCCGACCTACCTTCCTCACATGCCTAAATAAGAAATGAACTGATTATTTGGTTTAAAAACGAATTGATTTGACTTCATTCCGCATTAGATCAAGTATAAACAGTTGTTTGCTCTTCTCACTCAGTCCTCACTCCTCACTCAGTACGGACCCGTCTAGACCACGCCATATTACCATTACCTTCAGTACAGTGTACCGCAACCGCACCGCTCAATTATCCTTAGATTCGTAATCCTAACCTTCCTTTTACGGCCACTAAGGAATCTCTCCGACAAAAACTGATTGCATTTTTGGATTGGGCGTTAAAAATACTGCTATTAGACATATCAAAATTATAGGGTAAGCGGGGGGAATTGGGTGGGCGGGGTAATTGGGTGGTAAAATTTTTAACAATTTTTATATTTTTTAATTATTGATATTTTAACATTGAAATGACATGTATGGACAACCAATCTCTTCAAGAATAAGCCATAACCTTTTCAGATTTGTACCTTTAAACATTTAAAGGAGGGAAATAGTTTTAGGGACCCTTGTCATTTCGCGATTCTAAAAGTGGTATGCAAACTTTTTCAATCTTTCATATAAAATGCATTAAAATTTTCATACATGTGAAATTACATTATTTTTCACCATAAAATGAATAAAAATATACCAAAGAACATGCCCAATACTTATTTTCATAATAAAACTATTTCTAATTTACCTTATTTTTTTTTTTCAAAAATGTTACCACCCAATTACCCCCTTACGGGAAATTGGGTGGTAAATTTTAAAACTGAGCTAATACTGTTTCCTTGGCTTAATTTAATTAAAAAAGGCAATAATAATAATATTTTGTGAATATAATTCACACTAGAGTTTTTGTTTTGGTATTTCACCACTACCACCCAATTACCCCTATACCAATACCATTAACCCTATACCACCCATTACCCGTGAGTTCACGTCACATTGGACTGAACCCAGAAGACCTAAAAAAGTCACAAAATTGTATTATAGTTACTTATAACTGGCTGGGTAGCTGAGTGGTTATAGTGCTCGCCTATTAATCAAAAGGTCGTCGGTTCGATCCTGAGAAAAGTCAGTAGCTTTTTGATGGTTCGAAACTGGACCCAGCTGTTCCTGATCATTGGGCTCTAAATAAATGATCCTGACTAATGAAACCGCTGATCTTAGTCAGTAACAAAGCTACACAGGTCATCACACACCATTCTACGCTCATCCTTCACTCATATTTGGGTTAAAATACGCACCTAGGTGGCGTCCCCATCTCAACGATTGATTATTGATTATTGATTACTTAAATAGGCATAAAGACTGCAGTAGCGACTGAGCTGATGTAGTAAACTAGTGCATTAGGCCTACAGTACATTAGTTTATACAGCCTCCCTTGTTTTATATCGTGCGAAGGACTGGAAAATCGTTCCTCATTTTGTAAAGTTTCGAGACCATATTACATAATTTAAACCTTATTAGAGAAACATTTGTCCCTATTTTCCTGTTAATATTATTAATGTACTCTTTATATTATGAATTTAAAAACTGTAGGCCATAATATTTAATTGTGGTTAAAGATTTTTTTTTATGTGCGTAGTTTAGGAAAAATATGTTTGTCACCACAAAATTTATGGTAAATTTTGTTTGTTTTTTATTAAACCTAGTTAAAAATGTTGCTTTTAGTTTCCTTTATAACACCCAATTTCCCAACTTTAATTAGCATTTAGTGTTTATGGATTTTTGACCTACCACCCAATTACCCCCATGGGGGTAATTGGGTGGTAAAACACATTTAAATTTTTTTAATTTTTTGGGGGAATTGCGGGAAAAAAATAAAACATGAAAAATATAGCTTTTTGTATTATAAAATTAATTAAGTAGGCATTTAACAACAAAAATAGGAAAAGTGGCCTAACCAGATACATTTGTAAAACATACCTCCCAATTCCCCCCGCTTACCCTATCATATCCCAGTGTAAATACAGTAAATATTTGCCCTCCTTGGATATTGTCGGGTCAGGTAAAATCTTGTACGTTAAACAACATTACAACGTTACGCAAGAGCTTGCTTAGGCCTACATCACTTAGGAGAATTATGCAACTCGCTTCCGATCGTTCCACAACATTCACCTGCGTGATGTAAAAACGCTCTTACTACAAACTTGTAATGTAAATAGCTGTTAATGTAGGCCTACCCAACAAGTTTTGCAAACTGTAATCATGTTCTTGGTTTTTCAACAATATAGGCCTAGCCTAGGCTAGGCCAAACCTATGGTAGATGGGAAATCCAAAACGATGTTTTAGTTTTAGCCAAATTGAAAAATTAACTTACCAAAAATCCAGCAAGCATTGAGGATAAAGCATTTCTTTTGTCTCCACCTTCAAACCAGATACAAGGAGGTAAATTTTCAAGACAAGAAGCCATTGTTTATGGTGACTAATACCTGGTCCAAATATGATCAAATGTCAATAGGCTAGCCTAGGCCTAGATTGATGATATGGATCTCTAAAGTCAATATCCTATAATGGATTATTGTAATAGGTATACAGTTTTAATACGCAAGGTTATGCTAATGAATAGAAATGTATGACTGACATAGAATTTGAGAATTTTGAATGACCGAACGAACGAGTTAAAGTTAGTTTTGTCGTCTGGTGAGTGAGAAAGTGTTGAACTGACAAGTTTTGACAAGTGAAGTGAAAAGTGACAACTGAAAAAAACTGAACTCGTTAACTGACAGACACGGACAACTGGACTGGAACACTGGAACTGACAGGACAATGGACAGTGGCTTGTGGGAATGGGCACACGGGAGGGACTAAGGCTAAAGGTGTAGTGTCGTCATATATCTAGTGGCTAATGTCTTCTCTTGAGGCAACACGATTACCGTAACGAAACGATGTGATTTCAGCGGTGTTCGTGGCATAGTTGGTATCGATTCGGATTGGGGTTTAGGAGGTCCCGGGTTCGAATCCCGCTGGCATCACTAACTATTTATCAACAAATTGTTCATATCAGCAAGTTTGGTTGGTTAGGTTAGGTTATGACAGTTTAATTTTATAATACTAAATTTTAAAATTAATTTTATAATCAATTAAAAATTATAAGTAATCATTAATTAGATTTTTATCTTATACAGTTTTTATATTATCAGCAAGTCTGGTTGGTTAGGTAATGTTAGTTTTATTTAAAAAAATTTATTTTATAATTTTAAAACAATATTTTATAGTTAAAAAGTTAATTTTGTAACTAAAAATAAAAACAATAAAATTATTCAACTTAGCGGTTCTAGCGGCGAACGCTGACACTACAAGATATGTTAGCCTTACTCCCTCCCGTGTGTCCCACCGGTGACTTGCGTAGCATAATCAGCAGCTCAAATGCCCAATCAGCTCAAGCAACGCTCATTTTGGTCATTTTAGTTTGGATTTGGATTGGAGTTGGAGGAACAAAAATTGGATGGAAATCAAATCAATACAAGAGTGTAGGCTATTTGCACACACACCGATTTTGGACGGTCGGTCGGTAATAAGTCGGTCGATATTTTATCGGACCATGGTGCTTGCACACATACCGGATTTTTATCGGCGAAACGATCAGACTTTGTTGTTGTGTCGAGGATGAGACGAGATTATTGAATACTTAATCCTAAAAGAGTTGTTGCTGTAGTTATTGTATCGACGTAGGTATTAAGCGCCGTATGAGTAAACGTATGTTCTGGATTCATCCAATTAATCAAAGCAGAGAAAAAACGGGAACATTCCACACACTTTTTTAAGAACTAAGGCTTGGTAGCAGTAAAATGTTCAACTACCTATTTCAAAATGTCAATAGCATCCTTATCTATTAAGTCACCCATTTAAAACGTTATAAACACGCACTACCAAAACTTATTAGAAATGTCAGAAGAGCAGTGGCTTGAAATGGAGGATGGTGTAGCGAGAACTGCAAAAACGGTCGGTAAACAATCGGTGCGCGTGCAAGCTTGTATACGTACGCCACTGCGTCGCCGGCACATCCCCGGCACCGGCGGTATGTAGTGGCAGTGGCCGGCAGCTCATCGGCATTTTACCGGCGCCGATCAGCGGTCGGCGTGTGTGCAAGGTCCCGTTCCCGCCTGTGGTTCACTATTGGAACTTGGACGACCGGTAAAAAACCGGTCGTCCAAAATCGGTGTGTGTGCAACGAGCCTTAGAGCACAGAAAATATATTTTTATAACCTATAATAAGGTTATAGTAGTATGTTTTCTGTGCTTAGAGTGAGTAATTAGAGATCTCAAGGACAAAGATACTATAACTCTTGAATAAAAACTACTGTAAAATGTTGTCCGATAAGTGGTGGGACCTTATTGGGCTACATAGTACGAATCCTAAAAAGGTGCTAATATAGTTTTGAATATACGGTATTTAACTGTATAATTCAGTTTCAAAAGATACGCTTAAAATTGGACTTTGTTATTACTCAGGCCAGTTTCTTGTATCTAGTAAACCCTCTAACTATATGTTTTACGAGGTACACATATTTTAAAACAATCCATTAAACACAGCTCATTTGTAAGATTTTTTCATAACCAATCCATCACAAGGATTTAAAAAATAAACAAAGATAGAATGTGCCTTCGTCCTGTTTGAAGACAATTGTCCCTGTCATACGAATGTCATATTTTTTGTTGTTTGTAATAACTGTTTTGTCGGCTGCAGAGTGAGTGAATAACTACAATCTTGTAATTATTTTGAAAGTTTATGTGTTATGTAACACAGAATTCTTTACTGTAAGTAACTTATTACGTTGGTAATTCTTTCAACTGAGTATAAAATTGACTTTCATGTTTATAATAACAGTCTTGACTTTTATTTTACATTAACCAAAACTATTGTCTAGGATTAGATAACCAAAACATTACAAGGCCAAGGATATCAAATCAAATTTCTTATATGTATTTTATTGCCTATTTTATTATATAAAATTTTTTATAGCCTATTCGATTTTTTATATTCGATATGTAGAAAAATATGACTTATTTAGTTTATTTAGTCATGCTTTGCCTAAAAAACCAAAGATCATGCTTTTATCTTAATTTGATAGTAATGGTACTTTCCTGTTAAAGGGTAGAACATTCATTATTGATGATTTTTTCGATATATCAACATTTTCGTTTTCCTTTACGATCCATATTCCTTCTGTTTTAAGTTTTAATGTCTTCGGCTGCACTTAAGTTTACGTCCTACACTCATTAGAATGAATATATTGCTCGATATAGGCATATTGATTATTTCATTCAATATATCAAGTTTGGTTAGTTAGGTTAAAACCTAACCTAACTCACCGAATGAAATAATCGATACTGTATATCGAATAGTCTATATATCGATATTTTTCATTCGAATGAGTGTAGGATGTAAACTAAAGTGCAGCCATGTCTTCAAACGCATTTAAATTACAAATTGACAACTGATATTGTTCAGGCAAAAATAATATAAGACATATGGATTAAGAAATGAAAGTGTTCTAAACTAACTTAACATAACAACCAAACTTGCTGTAACTTACCATTTCAAAATTCCGTTTGATAACAGAAAAGGCATGTGGGGAATAAAAAATGGAATTTTGAAATGTTACAGCAAGATTGGTTTGTTATAATGCTAGGCTAGTTTAGAACAGTTTCATTTCAATGTAATATTTTTTAAATTGTTTGTTGATACTGAAAAATATTTATTTAGGTATCGTAGTTTCATCTGATATGTTTCAATTTGTTAATTTTCTAAGATATCGGATCGAAAAATAAAATGTCGATTCAGTAGGACCTCAATATCTCGAATCTGAAGGGGTATGATAAAAATTCGAGTTACCGGTATCAAGTTTTTCAAGTACCGTAACTTAAGTGAGGTTCGAGTTATGAAGGTGTTATACGAAAAAGTTCGAGATACTGAGGTGTTGGGGTCTGACAGCGATGTTACGTCATGGCCTTTATAACTCGACTTTTACGTGATAAACCTTTATAAATTGAACTCAAAACAATTCATACGTAGCCTATTGAAGAGAAAGATTTAACTGTGGAAGCAAAATTAACACTTTAAGGTAGGTACTTTGGTATTATCCGGAGGCCACTTATTTTAGAAGGATTTTTTTACTGGAGACAAAAAGTCCTAGATAATTGGAAAGAACATAGGTACTTAAATTGACTTACTGTCCAAATGTGACATGATTACGATTAGTGGCCTTTGAGTTCTGCCTCCCAGATAGCAGCGATGTCGGCGAGGATTGAGTTGAATGTGTTGCCGCTGCTATAATCTGCCAAGTAGGTTTAACAGCGCAGCGGTTATGTTAGGTTGGGTTATCATAAATATGTTTGTAGGACTTTCCTCGTTTCGTTATGAATCGAACGATACCAGATGAGTCATACTTTCGCCTGCCAAATACCCCAGATACAGGTGACTTTCTTTCTTCATATGAAGAGCGTCACATTTAACACATAGGCTAAATAAATAAACATTTACACGACACGATATGGACACTTAAAAACATTTATGGTAGGTAACTGATCAGTTGTAACAGACAACGCTAACCCGTCGGTGTTTGAGTCCAGGCCCCGGTGCTTGGGTCATGTTAGGTTGGTTGGGACGCAAGAAAGAGAATAACTCACCTTCAAGGAATGAAGGGAGAGGGCCACAAATTTATCTGGGGCTTATAGTGAGAGAGAGAGATATAGAGAGAGAAATTCTTTATTTATACAAATTATTTTGCAGCAATACATTCAAAAATAAAAATATCACATGGGTCACAATGACCTGTGCGTCACATGCGAACCGCGGGCCGTGTGATCTGTCCTGTTCTCACAACCTGGCTTCTTGTTCATCAATTGCAATAAACAGGTCCAGATATTGTGCCTGTAGATTGTCATATCACCTAGGCATTCAAAGAGGGCCTCACAGTGATCATATTAGTGGCTGCTGGAAACTATTCTGATGGCTCTTTTTTGGAGCTTGTAGACTTAAGGAGCTCTGGCAGATTTACTGTTAACATATAGAGTAAAGGAATTTCAGTAAAATATTACTCGATCGAAAGACCAGGACGAGATAAAATGTGGTAAGACAATACATCAGCTCATTCTTTTTCAGAAATATGACTCTTGTTGAGTTTTGAGTCGAAATTAAACCCCAGTAGGTTTCATCTCATTTTATTTCCAGATAAAACTCACCATGTCTCGTCAACTAAGTTCCGATCTCATTGGAGTTCTAAAAGGTTTGAGCCTTGTTCTTGGCAATGCAGCAAAACTACAAGAAGCTCAATGCCAACAAGTGTGGCAGAATTCAAGCGTAAAAGCTGCAGCGGAAGAAATGAATGGTGTTCTCGGGACCAAGTTGAAAGAGGCTGTGACTCAGGCAAATCCAGCACAGGTATTTCTTGATTAATAGGCCTAATTACTTTTTACTTTTAATTCTTGACTAATCAAACGCTTGATATATGACTCTTAAAATCAATATCCAGCCTAATCAAAATGAGTTGTCATCACAATTATGTTTTAAAATACAAATTTTTTATTGACTTAAACAGGAGGTTTGGTCCCAACTTCCAATAAGTTAAGATTGGGAGCACTAGTGTATTTGAAACTGAGTGAAAGAGCTTATTCCTTACACTAATAAAATCCACCCCAAGGTTTTTTTTTGCATATTTTGCATTCCAATGATCCTAAGATCCCATGTTGTTGTAAAAGTGATTGTAGGCTATAACTAAATACACATTTTCCCAGCCTTTTAATTGCATTCTGAAGATAAACAGTTGTTTTTTGTGAATACTGTATCCACTCATCTTTTAAGTTTTCTACATTTAGGCCTACTAGCAAACCCGTTGAGACTTTGCTGACAAAAATAAAAAAAGTTAGCCTAAATGTTTATCTGAATACAAAAAATTAAAAATTACATTACAAATATAATTTGAACAAAGTGTATTTTTATTAAATCCATTTGTCTAATCATAAAATTTAGTAAAAATATGTGACTACTAAAGTTAAACTTAAGGGGTTACAACTAAGGAAGAACTTCTCCCTCTGAATCCACATCCAGTTGTTTTTATCTAAAGTACTCCCTTAAAATGTTATCCAGACAGTTATCCCAATTTTAATGTAGCCTCTATCAACATCTGCTTTATTAACAGGTACAACAGCTGATTATAGAAGCAGCCCAACGTGCTTCAATGGTGGCAGAAGGTATAAAAGGAGTGGTTGTACATTCAAACAGTAAGTGTTATTCAAAAAAATTTGTTTTTGTTGTATATTTATAGGATCAATGATGAGACATTTTATTCAATACACCTGTTAACTGTGCTGTACCTTTGATTTTTTGTATTAAATGGATGCTAAACTAGGTGTTTTAATGGTTTTTTTTTGGCATAGCAGACTTCTCTGGATGGGAAAAGAATTACAAAACTCAATAAGAAACACAAACAAAAACTAGAGTACAGGTACAGTGTTTCACATGCAAATGGCAGCACTTTCAACCAAGGAAGATTTGTAGTTGGGAAAAAGATTGGACCTGAAAACCAGGACTACTAACTTTGAAGGGCTAGCCAAGTGCTTTAAAGTGAACGTGTGATGCTGCCCCCCCCCCCCCCGCATCCCAGCCGGCTGCGAGGGGAGGGGGGCTGGAATCACTTTTCGAAGCTAGTGGGTTCCTGCCTGAAAACAATGACATTGAAATATTCAATTTTTCATTTCCAACAAAGTGAACTTGAGAAGTGAAATAATAATCATTTGCAAAAGCTATTACGTTTTCATAAATTTATGTAGAATCTTTTTTATTTCAGAACCAATCCTTGATCAGTCTAACGGTGTGGATATTTCTGAACTTGAACTGGAGTTTGACAAAGAAACCATGTTTGAAGATGTTGAAAACTTATTTAGAAAAGGAGAAAAAGAAGTTCAGTCTTTTGACACAGAAGTGAAAGTAATATCTGTCACGGCTCAAGGAAGATACGGCTCAGTTAAGAAACCTTCAGAGCTCAATAATACCGCCATTCCAAGTCTTGAATCCACAAACTTCACACCTAACCTTAGGGAATACATTCAAAGAGATTCTCTAAAAGCAGAAGAAAAAGAGACAAACAAGATAGAAGGAAAACTAGTTAATGATTCAGGAGTAAAATTAGTATCTGATAACATAAGCACTACGAAAATTAACAAAGAGACGATAAAAAATATTGTAAATAATGAAGTTAAGTTCACAAGTGCTGCTACTGAGAAACTGACAGAAACGTCAACAACCCCCATCCCGACCCCAGTTGCCAAGAAGGCTCCAAAAAAGAAACCGAGTGTAAGGGTACAGTTCACTATCATTAGATTTAAGTTCTTAAATTTTTACTTAAGGATATCTATTTCATTTGACTAACAAACTGTTGTTCCCAATTTTTTTATTTTTTCTTTGGATGCACATCTGTCACATTTACTCAGATATCTGGTGTATCGCTGTATGTTTGTCAAAAATATTTTCCAATACTGACCCTTGGTTAGTTTAACCTTCAGTTCAGTATTTATTTATTCTGTGATACGCGACGCGGCAATAACATGAATATTTTAGTGGCTTCAGAACCAATATACAAGGTCCAGTTGTGCTAAGAAAACCAAATGTACTTGTTTGTTTAAAATAAACAGGTAAATTTAACAAATTTCCTAATATTTCCTTGCTACTGTAGGCAGTTATTATTATGTATATTACACCTTAATTTATCTGCCTTACACATCCTCAAAAGTTTTGAACAAAAAATAAAACAACTAAAACTAACAGTAGTATGGAACTCCAAAACTTATAGCTGTTGACAAAATATAATTAACAAAACAATACATTGAAACAGCTTTAATAATAAACAATGTATTATGATGGTTTCAATATAGTATTAGAACAGGCCTAAATGTTTAAGCTGGTATGATTTTGAAAACGTGCATTGAACCAAGGCCGGCAACACTAAAAAAAACAGGCCGTAATGCTCATCAAGCTCTAATATCTTGCACAAGAAGCTAAAATGTGGACATAAAAAGAAATTATTGTTGATTGGTTCCCTCAATGTTCCTGTTCATTGTCACTTTGCAACCATTCGTGAATTGTTTAATTTTAATTGTTATTAAAGACGAGGTGTTAGCCCGTCCTACGTACGGGAATTTAGTAGTCAGTTAAAACCGTGTACAATTCAGATCAGCTAGTTTACACATATAAAGTTTCTTGCAGTTTTAATGTGAAAAATCATCTTGTAAACATATGTTGTGTGACAAAATATGTGTTATTCCATCTTAGGCCTATACGATAGGTATGCATTTCAAATCCGATAATTTTACAATAAAACAGCAATTCTGCAATTTTTACCATGTGAAAAGCGTTGAAGTGAGATTGGCAGACGATTCGCACAGACGCACACTGATTATAAGTAGCCTACAGTAGAGAGAGTAATAGTCAATTGAGAAGTGTATAGTTGTGTAGACCTAGTCAACGATACCACCTTCCATAGCATACCTGCCTCTTCCATAATTATTATCCCCACAACACAACTACTATATACAATTTCCAGTAGGTCTGAATAGAAACGACGTAAAATAAAACGATAACTATCCAATAAAATTCACAGTAAACATCATTTAACTTTGGTGTCCTAACATCAAAACTAATCGTCACACCTATCCTTTATATAAATTTCACTGCATTAATTGCTAAATAAATAAGTGTAAACAAAGAAAAGTAAAAACAACAGTTTGTTTTGAAACAGCTGTTTGGTTCAAATAACATTCATTTGGTCACATGTAGCAGGAATATAAAAAATAAACACGCTAGTAAAGCTAATGACGTAATTGTCAATGTTTATTATCCATACCATTATCAGTTCTATCCTTGATAATTACCCACCCTCATTGAATAAATGTACATCATAATTTCCCATATTAGTTAATTTAAACTAAAATATATTCATAGTTGAATATAAATTCATAGTTAGATAAAAGTTATATTTTCACGTTTGGGGGCGCTGATATAGGCACCCCCAAACGTAACCACAACTGAACACGATTTCATAAAAGGATGTTTTGTCTAATTGCAGTATCCTAGGTCAATGTTGACGTTGTGTTCAATCTATGTCATCCATCTGTTTATCTTTGTACGTATAAAACCCGGCAGAGGTTGTGGTGGTAATTTAAAATCGTGATTCCTGATTATTCTTGATCTTTTTTTATGACATCAATATTTCCGGGCCTAATCCAAACAAAGTTAAAGCAGACAAACATGAATTGTAAACAAAAAGCTACAATGAAGAATTTAAAACATGTAAACAGTGTTATTTTTCTATTCTTTCCTTGAAAAGTGGAGCAGTAAAATAATTTGCATTTATCCTTTTTTATTAAGACTCGTGTACAGAGCCTCGATTTGTACTGTGGTTTAATTAATTTTGGTCTATAGTATTTTAAACTGTGTTCTACTAATCTTACTTATTTCCTATAATCAATGATAAAATAAGAGTAAATAAAATAACCTAATAGTTCCATAGTTTATATTTAAACAGCTGTTAGTTAATAAAACAAATTATATTTTTCTAAAAGATTGCTTTAAAAAATGATTTGAACATCGTAGTATTTTACTATGTATATTTAATTAATCTGTCATCCTCTTACAGAAGAATTGAACGTAATAATGATTAGCATTACACATAGTATAAATAAGTCAACCCTAAGTATGTCTTTACATTTTTATCCAAATGCTGAATTTGTGACACAAAAGCTGAATGTTTACAGCTGTTATTTAAGCAAATTATTTTATGCCAAAAGCTAGTTTAGAATCTTAGCGTCGGCTGCTAGACTTTTAAAAAATTAAAACTTAATTTATCAAAAACTGGGACCCTAAACTAAAATTATGGCTTCGACATTCCCTAGTTCTCAAAATTATCTTTCTTTCAACACAAAAATCATGAAAATCCGTCGAGTGGTTGATTCAGAATCGTGAAATAAAAAAACACTGTTTCGTTTTAATATTATAGATAACGTATATGAAAAATAGAAACGGTACTAAGTTCCTTGTGTCAGGTAGTTGAGCGAAACTGCAAAGCAACGCAAGGTGCCTTCAACTCGTATTGGTCGCATGTTGTCATTCGGCAGCCTTGCAGCAGGTCTGGGGGTTGGCACCATTGCTGAGGTAACTCGTCGCTCTCTGGGGTTGGCAGACTCACCTTCCGTTGGCACGACACTCGATAGTGCCTTCCTCTCGCCCGCTAATGCCGAACGAATAGTAGACACACTGTGTAAAGTTAGAGGTTTGTATAATTAGCACAGGTTAAAAAATCAGGGTGATTTTGGAAAGACAGCATTTAGTTGGATTGTTCAAAGAATATAAATTGTTTAAATGTTGTTTACTGAAATTTTTTATAAAAAATAAATTGCAACATTGTTTTGTTAATGATGTACACCTTTTTTAGTGTATGATGCCTGTTTTTAAATTTAAAAACAAAAAATAGGAACAAAATTCGCTAAACTTCCGTGCAAAGATAATCAATGTATAAAGGATCACTTTAGTCATATTCCTATTTTGATATAGAACTATCTTTTTTATTAACCCTGTTTCGGACACTGGAACATATGTTGGTTGATTGTAAATAGTATTCTATATGTTCATTGGTGTGTTGATCTTTAGGAGCAGCATTGAAGATCGGGCAGATTTTGAGCATTCAAGACAACAACATCATCAGCCCGCAGCTCCAGAAAGCGTTTGAAAGGGTTCGTCAGTCAGCTGACTTTATGCCCAGCTGGCAAGTTGAGGTACAAAATCTATGACCACGATCATAAAATACTGCTTTTCAACAAAAATTAAGTCACTAATGCCTTCTCTACCACGTCTCACAACGCCTCTTATACAGTTGAGCGTGACGGCCGGTAGGCAACGTGTTAATGCCTTCACTACCACATCTCACAACGCCTCTCATACAGTTGGGTGTTACGGCCGGTAGGCAACGTGTTAATGCCTTCACTACCACATCTCACAACGCCTCTTATACAGTTGAGCGTGACGGCCGGTAGGCAACGTGTTAATGCCTTCACTACCACATCTCACAACGCCTCTCATACAGTTGGGTGTTACGGCCGGTAGGCAACGTGTTAATGCCTTCACTACCACGTCTCACAACGCCTCTCATACAGTTGAGCGTGACGGCCGGTAGGCAACGTGTTAATGCCTTCACTACCACATCTCACAACGCCTCTCATACAGTTGGGTGTTACGGCCGGTAGGCAACGTGTTAATGCCTTCACTACCACATCTCACAACGCCTCTCATACAGTTGAGCATGACGGCCGGTAGGCAACGTGTTAATGCCTTCACTACCACATCTCACAACGCCTCTCATACAGTTGAGCGTGACGGCCGGTAGGCAACGTATTAATACCTTCACTACCACGTTTCACAACGCCTCTCATACAGTTGGGTGTTACGGCCAGTAGGCAACGTGTTAATGCCTTCACTACCACATCTCACAACGCCTCTCATACGGTTGGGTGTTACGGCCGGTAGGCAACGTGTTAATGCCTTCACTACCACATCTCACAACGCCTCTCATACAGTTGAGCGTGACGGCCGGTAGGCATTGTGTTAATTAATTATTTACAAAGTTAAAAATTTGTGTTCATGAAACTTTTACACTATTTCACAGAGGTAAGTGGTCAGAGCGAGAGATTTATGTCTAAGGGGCTTGAGCAGTTCAAATTACGCCAATTGTTAAGACCATTTTAAGCTATGTGTCCACCTATTTTTTTTTTTTTTTTTTTTTTGAAAAGGGTTGGTTTATCATGTGAGAGGAACTTTCTTAGTGCTTGAAAACTACCTCCTCTATAGAAATTCTCCATAGAAAAATCCTCCATACAAAATTGTGTTTTATCTTTGGACTATTACATACACTTTTGTCCACTATTTCATTGTCACCATCTCAAATGAATATAAATATTTATTTTAAAGGTGTGTGGTAAATAAATTCCTTATATTCTGTTCCTATATGCCCTTCTTTATTGTGCAATATAATCCAAATGGATGAACGGAAGGTAATTTAAACATTTAAGCAAGACAAAATCAAAACTCTGTACTAGTTACCCACCATTAAAATTACATATACAAATGGCTCTCAACAATCAAATGAAAAATGAATGATGTTTTCGCTTAGAGAAAACCTTAAAAAAAAATGATATGATTCACAGAAAGTTCTGAGTCAAGAGTTTGGTCCGGACTGGCGAGGCAGGCTTGCGTCATTTGAGATTAAGCCGTTTGCAGCCGCATCCATTGGTCAAGTCCACTCGGCCGTGTTGTTGGATGGTACAGAGGTCGCAATGAAGATACAATACCCTGGCGTCGCCCAAGGCATTGAGAGTGACATTGACAATCTTGTCGGCATCATGAAAGTGTGGAACATGTTCCCAGAGGGTAAGTGTGTCTGGTGGAGCAAAGAAATTAATTGACTTATGATTTTAGTTTGTAGAACCTCGATCAACTGTCACTCCATTAATCACCAATATCTGTTATTGGTCACCTAAAAAAGGTAGATTTTCATAATCAGGAGAGATGATCACTACAAATGATCATGAGTCTTGTTCCAAGAGAGATGATTCAAATATTTTCCTTGAATTTGATTGTATGGCTTGCTAGACAATATTATGTTTTTTTCTTTCCAAAATCATTCAAATACCAAAATGTAGGTATTGACCAAGAATTTCCGTTATCCGTCTTTTCCCTTAACTATTATAGTCCTAGTCCTAACGTTTGAGGCGTGTTGGTTAAAGGTTTTACTGTACATAGGCAAAGTGATGATAATGGTTGTTGTTCTCCAGGAATTTCACTGTCTCTTCAAGGGTTTTCTTTGTTCAAGGAATGTTTATCGATAACGTGATGGAGGTAGCGAAGCGGGAACTGAGCTGGGAGGTGGACTACAAGAGAGAACTCGAGTGCACAAAGATCTTCCAAGACCTACTGAAAGACTACCCTGATTATTACATTCCTCGAGTCATTGGTCAGTATTGATGCCAGTTACTTATTTTGTCATTTCCTTTATCAAAGATAAAATTGTTTATTTTAATATTTTTTGAATTACATTAAATGCTTTTAAAACAAAAACATCCCCATTTCAAATCAGGATTGTGATTTTGTAACCAATAAAGGTATATAGCTGTGTTAATGTAAAAATAATCCATTGTAATGTAAATCAACCATTAGCTGTTTTGATCTGCGAATAGTAACAAGACTACAAGATCGCGTGACTCATCCTACACTTGTCTCCATTCATTCTTGGCTTTAAATACCTACTATCGTATAGTCACCATTTCACTTAAAAGTATTAAAGAAAATAAATGAAACACATCTTCTGGTCAGAATGTCAGCTATTTACACAGCTCTCACAGTGAAGTTTGTCACATGAAACAAAAAATAATCTGGCACCTGATTTCACATGGGATACGGTGCATTCCCCTTTTGCAACTTCTGACAAACTCCACTCAGAGGGATTTGTATGTATAGCCATAGACAAAAAGAATTAAATATAGACCGTCAGCTGTGCTGCGATTATCATAGCTTCTGGCGCACACCGCTGGGAGCGCCTTGTAGTTACGGCTTTAGCGCCAAGTAACTACACGGCGCTACCAGTGGTGTGCGCCAGAACCTATGGTAACCGCAGCACGGCTGACGGTCTATATTTAATTCTTTTTGTCTATGGTATAGCTGACATTCTAAACCTGAAGATGTGCTCTATTATCTGAGGCTTGAAACAGCTGTTGTTGATTTATACAGCAATGGGTCATTTGAATTTTGATAGCATCACAGGTAATAACCTCTATTAACTTCCTACTTTTATTCTAGTTGAAATTCAGTTTGTTTTCTTATGGACGTTTCTATCTCTTTGACAGATGAGTTCTGCACAGGCCAAGTTTTCACCTCTGAACTGATAGAGGGAGTACCAGTAGACAAATGTGTGGATATGGATGAAGACACGAGGAAGCATATTTCTTTTCTTGTCATGCAGCTGTGCCTACGAGAGTTGTTCCAATTCCGCTACATGCAAACAGATCCGAACTGGTCCAACTTCTTTTACAATCCCGATACTAGACAGGTATAAAGTTTTGGGTTGTTATACTTCTGAAAGGTTACTGTAGTTATTGGCTGTCTTTCCCCAGATGATGTGGATCTCATATTTTATAACAAAATGAGTGTTCATAATAGTACTGAACGTGGTAGCTTAGTTTAAGCCAAAATTTGCTGGTGCGAGACTGGCTGCCTATACATGCTCACGTGAATTTTACCGTAAGGATACTTTGTTGTCTCTTACAAAATAAAAATCACAACCAAAACCAAAAGTGAACACTCACAGACACCATTATTACTATACTTGATGTTCCCTTTAATTTAATAAATGTGATGGAATGGATACAATTTGTTTGCCAGCAAGGTTTGAAATGTGTTTGTCATTAGCACCATGTCAGGTTTTTGTTGATTTCAATTGAGAAAGGAATCAGGTATGGGATCCCACCAAGAGGTACCCACTTGCTGTGAAATTATATTGATAGTGGCTAAAGTTGGATTAAGAAGCCAAGTTCTTAAGAAACTTCAGGAAGATGTTGACTCTGATCCTTGGGGGCATCATGGAAGGCACCACCCTATTTCCACCTCTTCTGCAGCATCCCCATTTTGAGTACAGCAGGGAAAGGGGTATTCCTCTCTTAAGCATCAAAGAGTTGTAAACACTGTTCTCTCCCTGAAAAATAAAAAAATCCTGGTCCTGATGGGATTCCCGGCGAGGCCCTCTAGAAGGCATTGTCAATCGAACCCATGTTGCTTCTAAGCATGTACAACAAATGCCCGTCCAAAGGGATTTTCCCATCCCCTTGGAAAAATTCTATGCTTGTGCTAATCAGCCAGAGGAAAGGCGACATGGGTAAACCGACATCTTAGAGACCGCTCTGTATGCTGGAAACAGGTGGAAAACTTAATAAAATATTGATCTGCTCCTGACTGATGTGGAAGCACCGTTAGTAGGTCTTCAGAAAGGGACAGCCAATAATTGATGTGATATTTAAAGTAAAAAGAGCAGTCAAGCTTGCCCATTTGTGCTTCTTGTTATGTGAGATGTCAAGGATGCCTATAACTCAGCAAGATTATTTAAATTGTAATATTATTAAAGATGCATGTTGGATTTTCATACAAATGCGTGATTTTAGCTCATCCTATTGGACTTTGGTGCTTCACGGGCTTACAGCAAGGAATTCATGGATCAGTACATTGAGGTGATCAAAGCAGCTGCTGACAACAATAGGGAAAAGGTGCTTGAACTTTCAAGAGAAATGGGCTTCCTCACCGGATATGAGTCAAAGGTAGGAAATAACCTGATTTGAATATGACATTTTCTGGTAAAGATAGCTTTTGGCCAAGGTTTTTAAGGATTTTGTGGTGGATAGGTTTAACAGCAGGCTTACCTTACTGACAAAAATAGATCAATTGCACAAATAAACACAAAGAATTTTCGGAGCTATTACCTCCTTCAGTAGAAGGATCTCTCTTGGTTCTAGTACTTCTCTAAAGTAATGTAAATTAATTCTAACTGCCAATTTCCTGGAACTTTGGATAAATTAGTGGTTATTCATTCCTCCCTAACCTATATATAGTTGTTCCTATATTTCCTCCCAAACCTGCATTAGAGGATAGAGTGTGCTTTAAATATAAAGTCTCCTAAATATCCGTGATACATTTTTCACAAACGTTTTTGTAGGTGATGGAAGAGGCACATGTGAACGCCGTGATGATCCTGGCCGAAGTGTTTCTCCAAGAGTCGGGGGAGTTTGACTTTGGCGCACAGGACACAACAAAGCGCATCCAACAGCTGGTCCCTACCATCATCACCCACCGACTGTGTCCTCCGCCCGAGGAGATATACTCTCTTCACCGCAAGCTGTCCGGGGTCTTCCTACTCTGTGCCAAGCTCAAAGTCAAGATGAACTGCCGAGATATATTCCTTGATGTCTACAACAACTATAAAACCTTGTAGTAAACTCGTAGCTTTCCCTTCTAGGTTGGAGGTCTAATGTTGGAGGTTGAAGTTTTCTCGCACAGATTGGCCGATGTAACTGGTCTGATCACAGCTTTTTTAGTAGTTTGTTATTGAACGTTAAAAGTTGAACTCTGAGAGTTGAAAAAAAATATTCATTTACCAGTTTAGTTTTGGAAACTTGAGATAATGTAAATGAATTGAGAATTTATCGTCAACCATCAAGAATTGATTTTGGAGCTGACAACCGACAAGTGGCAATAATCATTAAGCCTAAAAAACGATTACAAAAATTGATTAGTTAAGGGTTCCTGATTGTTTTAACAAGACAGTCTAAAACAATATTTGAAACATCAATCAATCACCATTTGTCCACTATTTACTTTTATTTTTTTAGTTCATCAAACAGATCTAATTTAATCCAACTTTATTGTTGTATGAATTCCCTATTAACCACTCTATCAAAAGCTAATAAAATGTCCTTTCACACAAATCCAACACCAAAGGAATGAGTTATTGAAGCTTTGTTTTTGTTTTATTTCACACACAAATCGTGAAACGAATGATTTTTTTTTGCCACTCAACTATTGTTCTACCACTGTTTAAGATTACAAACCACTTTCTGCGTTAGTTTAAAAATATAGCTAAGCCTAAAAAATTATTTACCTAAAAAAATCGCTTTGAATAATTTTACTGTTCACAAGGAACTGTTAGTGTAAATTTTGTAGATATTAACAATTAGTAAAACTTGTAACACTCAGGTGTTTGTTAGATATAATTTATATTGTATATACCACACAAATAAATATTGTATTAATTATGTCCTTATTTTTGAATTTATTCCTAACTACTTATTCACCCTGTGATTCACTTTTGTATGCTATTTCTGATTTAAAAAATATAATTAATTAGATATGGTTAATCTATCTTTGGAGGTAATTGAATTTCATTCATATCTCTTCTTACTATTACCGCCGCCATTGATATTTATTGTACATTGGTACTGTAAACAAGTCATTCATTGGTAACATTGAAGGCAATTTTGATTCAAAGCTCTTTCTTACATTGAGATTTAAATAAATAGTAAACAATTAATTTTGATGCATATGTCATTCTGAAAAATTGTGTGACAGTTATTGTGTATTAGTTTGAAATGATAAAGCAGAGAGTGTTAGTTGACCATTGTGATTCTGATCTATGATGGTAAATGGAAGGGAAAAGAAACATGACATCAAGATCAAAGATTTATTTACAAAAGATAAGACTCGATTAAAAAGTAATCAAATTGTTTTCACAGCCTCAGACTTGCAAAAATCATAATTAAAACATAAACTAGGCTACCAAGGCAATTTAGATTTTCTCATAAGTTTGATGAAAAAATAAACACATAAATAGACATTAAAATTTAATGTACAATATTTAATATTGTTGGCACAAATATTAAATGTGTTAAATATTTTGCCACAACAACCATAAACTGAATTCATATCCAGTTTATTAATGGCATCTTTATTCAAATGGGTAAAAATAAATTTAGGCTACATTTGATTCATTATCAATATACAGTAAATAAAATCTCAAAAAATATTTAGGTTTGCTTGAGGGAGATACAAAATTAGTTTTGTGTATAGAAACCCTAAAATTAAATAAAGAAATTCGCCTTTTTGAGGGGACATCCATAAATAAGCATTATATTGCAGTTACATTAAGTTTTATAACTATCATAATATGGGAGACAACGTCCTGTCATGTCACTTTTAATGACCTGGAAAAAGTGGTATCAAGTAAAAATGTAATAAAATATATATTTTTAAATTTTCAATGCTGATTTAAATGGTATCATTACAACTTTTGCATACAAAGATTTCTTGAGTTCAATACCTGCTTTTCCAATCGTTAGATTTGATTGGTCAACAACTCAAATCTAAATTTCATCAAAATTGGACAGTTTGTATGAGGAAATAATCTTTTTGCAAGTATGTATTATAAGCAGACAGAAGGAAAAAGTAGTTACCAGAAGACTAAGAAAATAGCACGATTACTAGAAAAATACTGGTATGGATCATAAACATAAACAAATGAAGTTTTTGGCCCAAAAATAAACATTATTTAACATTGCTTAAATAGAACAGCCAAAACATATGTTCAATGCTATTAGCATAGGATTCGGGCCAACAACGTCATTTGTTTATGTTTATGATCCATACCGGTATTTTTCTAGTAATTGTGGAAAATAGTTACTGTAGAGAAAATTTCACTTAATACTTTTCCAAATATTTTACTCTTAAAACTTGGTAGTAAACTGGACATTACTTGTAGTCGTATTAATACTTATATGAAACCAAAAGACTCCAAATAATGGGGAAAAACTCAGAAAACTTGACATAAAAAAATATAATTAATTAATTAGATATGACAAGACATACCCCGCCAGACATTCCATTTAGCAACTTTTAGTTTGCTGTCAACCTTTATTTTTTTAATATAGGCTTGTAGGACTACACAAGAAGTAAGCAACAGAAATCAGCTCCAAGGTGTCAGGCCTTTAATAGGTGTTTGGAATAAAACCCCTGTTAAACTAAAATAAAAATATACACGTTGCTAATATCTATATACAAGTGAAATGGATAAAATCAAATCAATGCTTATGTCAAATTCAAATAAGTTCTTTTATAAGTAGGAAACATTCCTCATTACAATAATGGGCAGCTAACACAACCATTAACAATAACATAACAATTATTGTGATATTGTTTAAAAATAATAAGTGGATATTAAAGTTGTAGATAAATAGTTTTTCTTGAGTAGCCAGCTTAAATAAATATTGCATTTTGTTTTACTTAACAAAAAAGACACTACAAAAATATGTCAAAGCTTTTTTTATGTAAAAAATAACAATAAAGCATTGGTACTTAACTTAGAACTAGTTGTCTTTGGGATAAACATTTATTTTACTAGGCAATTATTGGACCTCTTTACTTATTATAATCCAGATGTATTTTTTATACATACTAAAATTAATACAGTCAAAAATTCAATTAAAACCCTTAAAACTAACACAAGGACACAATAAATCTAAAATACTATGAAAATCACTACCATGTTTTAAAAAAACCTTATTAAACACATTAAATGAATTAAAAAATATTGTAATACAATTTTATATCGCTACATAGTGTATAATTTTTCAGTACATTAAGTAAGACTTGAAAATCTATAACTTAAGAACGCAGGTATTTATAGAAGTACAAAATCTCAATTGTGCAATCAGTTATGCTCAGCTAAGATGGATAAATTAAATGTCTGAAAAATGTTTGTACACATATTTTTTTAAATGTCTTCATCCTCTCCTCCTCACTACATTTCTTAATTAAGAACTCTTCTTACTAGTTAAATCTCTAGATTCTACAGGAGAAAATGTGTTTGCAACAATAGCAAAAGAAATATTTACTTTCAACAATTTATGAGATTCAATACAAAAAATTTAACTGTTCATGTTTGAGCATATTCTGAATATTCTGAAAAGTTGGCCTATAGCCTACGAGTAAGATAAAGCATAAACATTCTTCATGCATAAATAAAATGGGTAAGCTCAAAAATAAATTACATCCGCTTAACACTTATAACTTTTAGTGAGCAGGAGAGCTCAACGTAGTAGAACTCCGATCATCTGGATCAAATTGGGACTAGTAGATGACTCATTAGTCATTGCCCATCCATTGATCCTATACTATAATAGAGTCACCACGTGATTGACGCAATTGGTACATATTAAAATGAAATATGTAACTGATTAAACAGCAAACTGTGAAAAAACAGTGATAAACTTATTGTTTCAACTGATTTATTTTTTTTTTCTCAATGCGGTATTTGGATAGTTAGTTAACGATCTTGATGATCGGAATTCTACTGTGCCTTGCTCACGTAGGATTCTCTCTCATCTATAAATTAGAGATGTAATATGTGTATAGTATGAATAAAAAAGTGCAAATAATTTGAGTATCTCTCTTAAGTAAGGGAAAATATGAATTGTGGTTTTACAAAGTAAAAGAAAAAAACTTTAAATGAACAATAAGATATTTTTGGCTAAACGGCAGTGTTAATTGCGAGACAAACTCCCATTTACATTTAATCATATCATCAAATGTATGTATGTTTAGATTTGTTTTACATGTGCATCTATGTTTTGAGTGTATTAGGTGATTGAATGGACCAGATAGTTTTAAAATTCACTCCTATCTTGATTTTTAAATAAATATCCCTGAATGGCTTTATAAACAAATTCAAATAAAAATATACACCTAAACTCAAAATCTGTGGAGCTAATTTAAATGCAAACAGTAGGGCTTTAGAAACTCTTTATTCCTAAATGGGTTCAGTTCAGTACCTATCTCATGGCTGTACAAAAATAATGACTAGTAACTTTTTACAGGCATGTACAGTTCTTATGACTAGAATACCTATACATTTTTACATTTTACAAGACTTTATTTGGTAATAAGATAGAGTAGGAAATAGTATTGATTGACACAAATTAAACTAAAAAATTTCAAACTTTGCAGCTAACAAGTTTTTTTTTTTTTGTAAATAAATAAATACTTAAATGCCCTAGCTAAAATATTGCAATGATGCCCTTCAGTTTAAATAGACAAATTACAAACCCCTTAAGAAAAATTATAAGTTTATCTTTAAACATACACGATGAGTAGAATATAAGACAAAACACTAATAAAGGGGTTAACAAGGCATATTCACAATTTTATAGAAAAATAAATGTAGGCCTAATTACATTTTTTTAACGGTCACCTTAAGCATAACCTGCATAGCACACTTAATAACAAAGAAAAGCTTGTTTTTTAAAATCATCTATTTAAAAATTGTGATATCTAGGTCTATGAATCATTTTATTGGAGGAAATGGTAAAAAAAAATTGGTATGTGGTTTAATGGATGTACATTTTTGGTTGCTTACGGTTTCAATCATGTTGTTTCAGTCAATAAAAGGAAATTTTAAGGGTTATTCTTGGAATAAATGAGGAAATTTAAGGCTCTGGAATGTTAGGATTGTGAAGTTTCCAGTTTTAAAACTATAAATACAATGACTTTAAGTTTAATATTGTGATGCATTCATAATTTATTTTATACATGTCTATTTATTTAAAACCAGTTATTGAATAATTAAAATTAAAAGAAATTTAGCGTTTTAACCCTTAGAGAGAACAGAATTCTTGAAAAGAAGTCTCATGTTAAAATAAATTTAAAAGTAGGGATGGGTCGATAACAAAAGTTGATTCTCGATTCGACCTATTCTTGACTTGGGATTGAGAATCGACCGCTAAAAGTCGATATCAGATACCGAAAAAGTCTAATACCGATAACAGACACTTCTGTGAAGATCGTGCGATTGGAAAATTACCAGTATTGCTACGATCGCGCCAAGACGACGATGACATTTCCGTGACCGCAGGAAACAATAATGATGTCTACATTAATGTCTCCATGCAGGACATGATGGTGTGAGGTATTCAGGATTTTTCCATGACTGTGGGAGATGATGATGTTATCCACACAACAGCATGAGACGATTATTATGTCTGGCCACGGTAGGTGATCAGAATTTTGCCGTGATTGTGGATGACTGTGATGATGTCTCCAGGACAGCGAAGACGATGATGAAGTCTACTCAACTCTGGTAGATAATCAGAATTTTGCCACAAAATGTTAATGACGAAGATGATGTTGATGTCAACATGATCACGGGAGTTATTTAATATTTTCAGGGCTGTGCGAATCCAGAAATTTTGGTTCGAATCCGAATCCGAATCATAGCTGTACAGATTTTATCGAATCCGGATCGAATCCGAATGTTTTAATTAATCCCGAGTCGAATCCGAATCTCAAATTTACAGCCATTATCGAACCTGGATCGAATCCGAATCTGAAATTTAAAGCTGTTATCGAATCCGAATATTTAAACATGTTCAGAGTCGAATCCAAATCCGAGGAAAGTCAGCAGTACCAATTTTCACATTTTTAGACCACATTTTCTGGGGCTGAAATAACTTAGGGAATTGCTTAAAAAAATTCTTGAAATGGGCCAAATAAAAAAGTTATAAAATTTAGGCCTACCTATTTGAAGTTTTGAAACTAAAAAATTGGGCATAAGTTAGGCATACCACCTAGGCCTAAGTTACTCGCTAAAAGTGATGGACTACCAATTTGTGTAGTCTAAAACATAGGCCCAGCCTATTATACACCTCGGTGTTAATCCTCCACACAAGCCTATGTCTGCATTACTATTACAAGTAACAACTAACACTGTGAGGTTAAGTTTACTGATAGCCAAGATAGGGTTCAAATGCGACCTACACTAATGTGCCTAAAGCCTAACACCAAGTTGGTCAGGTTCCTAACATGAACCAGTCAACAGCAAATCGGAGTGCACAAGTAGTTTTTTAGTGTCTAAAAAATTATATTGAAAATTATATTCAATCAGAATCTAGTAAATTTGAATATCGAATCCCAACTCGGATCTATTTCCAAGAAATTCGAATATCGAATCCGAACCCGGATCTCTTACCAGTAAATTCGAATATCGATTCCGAATCCGAATCCAGTTAGAAACAGTAGATTCGTTCTCGAATCCGAATCGAATCTCTAAAAAGATTCGGATTCGATTCGTTTTTCGAACTATTCGCACAGCCCTGAATATTTTACAATGATAGCAGAATATGTTGATAACGTTTCCATGACCGCAGGGGACGATGATGGGGTTCCCATTACTGCTGAGCGTTATTTTAGCACTCATGATTGAATAAGGATGTTAAAAAGTATTGAATAAGGATAATAAAAAGTTGCAGAATCAGTTACTAAACAATTTACTAAACATCCCGCTAAACTCATAAAAATTAAGGTTTGGTCAAAGAGAGTGCTCATATATTTCCTTTATTATTTTATTTGTTTACCCTAACTACTTTTAGGTCTCTACACTATTTGAAATACACCTCATATATGGGTAAGTTTACAAATATTCTTAAAATTGGCTGATTCAAAAAGAATATTATGATGTGAAAGATGTTTTGACTGTTAACAACCTTTGTTCTTCATAGTATAGTTTTTAAATAGTTTTAGGATAAGGTAGATTAGTTTTTAAATTGACATTTTTTGACTGTTCTCTTAGAAATACCAACTACTGTAATTTGTAAAATGGTGTGAATCGAATGTTATGTGAAAATAAAACATTTTGGATCTTTAACACAAGCAATAGCTACTTAAAGTATTTGACGAATTTTAACACTTGAAAATTAAGTCAGAATTATAATAGGCTAGTCGAGAAATATGTAAATTCAAGCTTTTCAACCACCACTGAAAAAGATACTAATTATTTAAAAAAATGTATAGTTTGGAATGTCCGAATACAAGTACAACTACAACAGATTTTATGAATCCGATAACTAAATACGGTAATTCCAATTTAAATACAATTATCACAGAAAATCTGTTGAGGGTATTGCTAGAGCAAACCAATACAAAGTAAGCCTGCCTACGAAGAAAGCTTTTTCACTTGCAATGACGTTGGAAAAGGGTTCTACACTTTGTGAAAATAAATACAAATACAGTCAGTTAATGTAAAAAATACATTGCATACTAATGGTTGGGTACACATTACCTGTTGTTGGAATGGAACTCTCTACTAAGCACCTCTGCAAAGTCCAGCGTGTCGACGTTAGGCACTCGATCGAATGTATCTCTGTCCAACACTGTCGGCGCGTCCGAGTGGTTCAAGCCGGAGTCAAAATGTTCTAAACTCTTCATGAGATCCTCGGTGGAAGCGGAAACATGAGTTCTTCCCGACACTATTGAGAAACCGTCCATCAAGTCGTCAGTTTCTAGCTTGTTTCGATTGTGTTCCAGCTCGTTCAGCCCTTTCATCAGTTCGTCCACAGACGATGCCTGACTGCCAAAGTTCTGTAATCGTTCACTCACAATCTCGTCCACATTCACCAACCCTCTGTCATCTGAATCACAAATCATCTCTTCGCTCGTGAGCAGAAATGACTGAGGCATGTCGTCCATATCAGTTTTAGGCTTCTCTTCATTGGTTTCTGGTTTCTCTTGAGCAACCTAAAATCAGACAGATATTTAATTTTTAATTTATTGTAAAAGAAAGTAGCTCTGTAATAGATGGTGTCCATTAGAATGTCGTGTAGGATGAATGAGATAAAAAACATCCTACCTTCTCTGGACACATACATGTAATGTGATGTAACAACAGTTCTAAAGATGACAAAATGGTTTAAGTTACCAGGCTTCGTCGAGTGATCCTTGTTTTTGAAGTACACTACTATAGTTTCAGACTTTTTTTAGAGCCCATCATCTGTGACAAAAACATCTATACAATTTAATTTGGCTATATCTGTCGACATTGAGAACAAACATGACACAAACACACAGTAAAAATATGAAAAACGAATAAATACTGTAAAAACTGGCCAGTACTATAATGGATGACGGAAGATGAGTCATGACTGTATGTCAAAGCCCAAATACATGTCATCCTAACCGGTGAATGACCCGGATGGGAGAGGGGCATTATGTTATCTACCAGGCTTTAAAATTCAGTCATGACTTATCTAATATAGATAATTTTTAAAACCACCTAAAATAGCTTTATCCAATCCACATAGCTTTGCTTTCTTTGTTGAAAGAAACTGAAATGTTCTTTTGTGTAAGATCCAAGGTTACTACTAGTAATATCTTTGACAACATATACCTGAGGCTCAATGGGAGGAACTGTGATGTCTTGAGTTGCAGCAGACGGTTCTGTCAAATCTTCATCTGACGCTAGGTAAACGCCATGAGGAAGATTCAATATTCCCATCATTATATCATCCTCTACCTATGGCATTAGATATTTAGGTGCTGATGTGATAAAAGAAATCAACTATTAAAATAAATGAGGTGGTTTCCGTTAGTGTTTGTTCCTTATGAATACAAACATTCAGTAGGAACACTCTAATTACAGAGCTGAAATTTTACAACTACAACTGTGTAAATCAATACTTGGGACAACACTCAGGCCTTTTTATATTCTTGCAAAATGTTACTTCATAAGATGTACAAAGCTAAAAGTTTAGAGGTGGGGGTTTGGGAGTAAATATTAATTAGTATCCATGACACCAAAGGCAAAAAGAAAGCGCTGAATGTTAACCTTGCTATATTCACATTTCAATGAAACTATTAATTTTGATCCTGCTAGACTGCTGATTGTGTTGAACCCAAGAGAGTTAATGAAAAACCAAGTAATACATTTCAGTTCGTTTTTAAAATAAATAGTGGTCTGTATCTGTTTCCTGTAGGCAATCTAACAATTAAAATTACTCTCTTCTTCCTCGCTGAAATGAAGGCACTGGTAATGAATTGTAAGACATCAAATATTTATAAATAAGAAAATTTTATCATGTATTTACAAAGTGTACTCAGAAACGAAATTGTTCAAAAATACAGTTGTACCACCCCAACATGATAAAAAAAGACATTGAAAATTATAAAAAACACAAACGACAATGAAAGAATTAACTAACATTGAAAGTTAAGCAAACTGAAGATTTTTGTCTGGATCTTCTTTGCCACTTAATCACTAAATTTCATTTTTCAAAAAAATGTTTTTTTTACTATCTATATAATTAATACGCTACATGAAACTTTGTCGGTTGAACTCCCCCGCCATTTCTTAACCGATTTTATTCATTGGCGTCTCATTGAAAAGAGCGTGTTGCGTAGATTTGCAAACTGACCTTACTTTTTTGAAAGCATCCCTTGGGCTCTGCCCCAGTGGCTTTGAAAGTTCCCATGTTATCCTTATGGAGAACATAATTGTTTACATTTTGATCAGCTGTATAATTTAATTGCTGTTATTTATTTTTCAATTCAATGAAACACATGGAGTACATTTATTTACCATTTGAGTTTGTGTAAACATAACCCCCAAGACGGATCGTGTTAGTATGGTTGTATCTTAAATTTGTGTATTTATCGTTGTTTTGTGTCGCTGTGACGGATCGTGTTAGCATGATTGTAACTTAAATTTGTGCGTTTATCGTTGTTTTGTGTAGCTATAATTTGTTTATTTGTTGTTTTTTCTTTTAAATGCCTCCGACGTGACGACAACGAAACATAGACAGGAGGCGTAATCATGATAACGATCGCAGCTACAGAACAGTGGCGCGTAATAGGCTTCAGTCAGCACCTGACCCTGGACTATCTCAACTATTAGGTTACAAATGCGCCCTAACACTACCCCAAAACGACTTTTCGTTCTCAATTGGTCCTCTATCAATGGCCTGTGTTGCATGTACAGCGAAGCATTTTGAGAAGGAGAAAACCGGCTGGAATACTTTTGGTTTATCAATAACGAAGATAAACATGGTCTGAGTTACACACCGGTAATCTTTGAGTTGACTCTTTTAAACTCATTGTAAATACGACTGTTATTCGTTTTAAAATAAATCCTGCAATACTTTGTAATTGCTCGAATTCGAGCAACATGTACACTAGTACAACTTAAATTTAAACATATATTGAACATCCCTTAGATTAGACAAACCTGTACAGTAGCAGGCTTGGTGGCAGGCGGTGTAGGATGATCAAGGGGTCTAAACAGCTGATGTGCCATTGTCCGTAGTTTGTGTACCAATTGACACATTTCGCTGTACAGTGTTGCCACCCTACAGTCTGTCCTCACAGCATCCACACGCAGCAACAAGAACTGCCACAACGACAACACACTGGCTACTGCGGGACCGGCCACCTCAGCTACCTCCTCTTCACTGCACCAGCCCAGCGCCTGTCAAACAACATGATACTGTACTGTCACAGTAACAACAACAAGTGACATCATCATCGTCTCCCCTGATTGCGGCAAAAGCATATACAGCCCCCACGATGACCAAGGCAACATCATTGTATTAAACTATCTCGGTGATATTGGAAGTATCTCCCGCAATCGCAAAGACATAACAGTTCAGCAGAAACCATCACATCCCACCTCGGTATAACCAACTCCTCGGGATGTCTGCTCTTAGGTCCAATTAAAAGATACATATCTCTAAAGAGGTGTGCTAGCTGCTTGATTTTCATGCCGGGTTCAGTCGACAAGCTTTAGAGATCGTACACTAAGTCATAAAATCAAGATCAAGCCTATAGCTTTTACAATCGCTATGTAATCATGATTAAAGGACTCATCTGCAAAGATTGTTCAATCGAACAAATTTATACAAAAGATGAAGATTAAGTAATGTTCCGAATTTGCTGTAGATGTTCAATATTGGGCCGAGACAATATTTGGCGGGGATAATGATGATGTCCACACGGCCGTAGTAGGCGTTCAGGATTTTTCCACAACCACAGAAGAAGACAATGATGATCAAACGACCATGAGAGATTTTCAGGGTTTTCCTGCGAGTGCAGAAAACAATAATGATTTGATGGATTTATTCAGGATTTTGCCATCATTGCGTGAAATGATGACTATGAATCCCGAACCGTGTAGGCATTCACGATTTTCCGCCATTGCTGAACTATGATGACACTATCCCGAAGACATTATTATTATGTTTTTCCCCATCGCAAACAAATTTAAGCATCTAGTGCCATCAGGAATACATCATCAACATGTTATGCAATCTAAGTGAAAAAAAGTATCCACTGATTGCGAAGACGTTACCCGCTGTCGTGGTAAAATTATGTAAATTCCCTGCCATCTAAGCAAATTCAAGAACATTCTAGGCTATTACAAAGACGTTAGATTTTACAATTTCTGCACAATTTTTAACATCTACTGCAGAATTTTTATCATCACATACGTTCCTGAAAAAATTTGTCAAATTTTTTATTGATTCTTGGTTTTGTGTTTTTGTTAAAATTCACAAAATTTACAACTGACTCATCCCTAGTTGTAATCTTGGCACGTAAAAACATCACATTCATTCCCGTGCCAATTAACAGTGTTAGAACGATACATGTTTGTGGCAGAATCAATGATTGAAGGCCCATCAATTCAAGCTGATGTGCCTTGTTGGTTCAATTTCTTGCAAATCTCAGTTTGCCACTTAAAGCCCTTAAGCCATCCATGTTTCTTAAGGTGTTATTTTTAGTTAGATTTTTTTTATAAAAGACTAGTTTACCTCTTTAAGCCTTGTGCGTTTGTCAACAGATGAGTAGTGATATTTTCCTTTTCCTCTTCTTTTCCCAGTTTTCTTCCACATCCCATTACCACCATCGGCTCGATTTTCACCTAAAAAAAGGTATTTAGAAATATGTTATTAGGTAGGCCTACCGGTACTAAAAAGATATAAAAGTACACAACAGTTAAAATAAATAATTATGCAAGATTAAAATAATATTTTTATTCCCGAAAATCAGTGTTGGTGTTAATATTAAAAATCTGTCTGCATTTAGCTTAAATTAATTCCTTATTTAATTTAATTTGCTACTTCGAAAGTCATGCAAAAACTTGACGGATTAAGCAAACCGCTTAGGCATGATTTAAATTTAAAGCCAAGAGAGTGAAATATAAGTATGATGCTTTTTCTAGCTTCACTGCCCAAGTCTAACTGATTCTTCAGCTAAGTTCAAACTTAACAACTCCAAGCACAACAACTTGATTTAGGTGTGTGCTAATCAAAAAAACATTTAAATAATTTTGTTGATCCACAATGATATTCTGAAGCAGTTCACTAAAAGAACTCAAATAAATCAGTCCAAAGAAATTGCTAATAATTATACATTAAAAGTCTTGTTTTTGAATCCATTTTACCTTCAGAGTCTGGGTTTGAATTCCGTATTGTGTTCAGGTACTCGATGCTCCCGTGATCAGGATACTTGTCAAAATGTCTCTTCATCCTCACATAACCTAAGTAAATCTTTCCACAAGTCGGACACAAATTACCTGCGGATATGTTACGTTTGTGGCTTTTGGCAACTAGACCTGAAAAATATTAAATATAATTTAGCCTACAAGTTATTAAAATTTGTCAATTCTGTTCAAAAACAAACACAAAAATTTCCTGAGCCATTTAATAATGGATAATTACAAATATTCCTACAGTAGAACCCCTCGAATCTGAGTCATTTATAGCACAAGGTGCAAGGATTCTCCTGCTCGGGAAATGAGACCACACTCTTCAACAAAACGGTTATGAACTGTAAGTTCTGTTCTCAAAGGCAAATTGTACAGTGAATTTATTAAATTTTGCAAGGGGGTTTTAACACTTTAAATACAATATTACATACAGTAGAACACCAAATGAATATACGAATCAATAAAAATATAAAACAGACTAAAAACCACATTTGGAATAAAAAAATTTGGATAATTGATTTTTACCAAAATTCTGGGTATTGTACAGAAAATAGGCCGACTTGAACTGAGCTTATACTATTGCAACCGCAGAACGTGTTTGCGAAGATTTCCCCGATAGAAAAATTCTTGCTTTCGCCACAATTGAGGAGGACTATTATGAGTTTCCTTGACTGTGGGATACGAAGATTATTTCTACAAGACTACAAAAGATGTTCAAGATTTTGCAGCGATCGTGTAAAATGATGATGATGTTTCCGTGACCGTGAGAGACAATGATCATCCCACAAGACTGTGGGCGGGATTTTGGATTTTTCCACAACCACGGCTTCAGACTTAATAATAATTCTTAATAATTCTTTTTACTGGTTTTAAGATCCTATCAGGTAACAATTGTATCATGTATCAGTTCTTACCAGGTAACAGTTCCACTGGTGCGGACTCGGGTGGGTTGTTTGGGTCTTCTTGTTCACTCTGGTAGTCTGAGTAAGCACCATCAGAGTCGTCTATCTCTGCCCGGCGCAAGTGCTTATAATCTCTTACCATGTGCTTTGGTGGCCGCGACAACCGACCAGAGCGCGTTCGTGGGAATGCCTTAAACAACAATATGAACAATTTAATCTGTGGTAAAACTAGCCTTTAATTCTTTTGTATAATTCCATGTTTCCTTTGAAATGGAATATCATGCTCAAACTTTCAACCAAATATTTTATACATATCAGCTTTAAAGATCTTGTGGTTGAAAAGTGTAGTGTCATTCATATGCCTTTGCATTTAACATATCCTACTAATATTATAAATGAGAAAGTTTAGATGTATGGATGTATGGATGTATGGATGTATGTTTGTGACAAGTGAACGCGAAAAATACTGGTCGGATTGGGCTGAAATTTGGCATGATGATAGCTCACATTCCCGATTAACATATAGGCATATTCTTATTTCAAAAATCCTTTCGGGCTCCGCCCCAGAGGCTCTGGAGTTTCCCATGTTAACCTTATGAGAAATGAAATTATTGAATCTTAACAGCTGTTTCAATTAAACAAGTTGGTTCTGTTCTGTGATGTTCAATAGCGTTAAAGTTACAAAAATTACTAACAGGGTGCAGCACTATTATTTCTTTTACATTTATGACAACAGCTAATTTGCAACCAAAAGGTGAGTGAGCGTAGCGAACGAACTTCAACCTGGAGGCAAGTTAGCGTAGTGAACGAGCTAACCTGAAGGCAAGTGAGCGCAGCGAACGAGCTCAAACTAAAGGTGAGTGAGCGTAACGAACAAGCTCGAACCTAAAGGTGAGTGAGCGTAGCGAACGAGCTCCAACCTAAAGGTGAGTGAGCGTAGCGAACAAACTTCAACCAGGACGTGATTGAGCCATGCGAACGAGATAATCTTGAAAATTAAGAAGTTAAACGGGGCAAAGCCCGCGGGTTACAGCTAGTGTTTTATAATTCAGTTTGTTGTTGTGGTGATGATGACTCTTGTTAAATAATAAACACATTCTTTACTTTGCAGCATTTATTAGAATTTTATATTATATTACATGGTGTCAGGTTGTTAAATAAACATTTAAAATATGCCAAGACCTAACAAGAAATCTTCTAGAAAGTCAAAAAAGGAAGATTTATATTAGGATTACAAAAAGATGTACAACTTTCTTGGTAAAAACATTTACATTACCTTATTGAAATTGGGAATGCATTATGCAATTCCGACATCCAAAGAATGGACATCCAAGACCAAATTAAAATTTAGGGGATATTTCAAACCAAACATGTCTTATATCAATTTTTAGTAGGCCTAGGATAGAAAACAAAACAATGTAGGTAAGTATATTTTAAAATGGTTTTTACCTTTTTTGGCTGTGGAGCCCCATCTACCAGGTCCTCGGATAGATTATCTGTACGATTTTTCTTTGGCCTTCCACGTCTCTTTGGGAAATCATCTTGTTTTCGAAGTGAGACTTCAGCAGGACTGATTATTCTAAATATAACAGAATGAAGAATGTTTACTCTCAAAGTAAATAAAGTTGATAAATAATTTAACCCTACAAGTCAAATTATTTTGAGCACTACATAAGAGGGGAAGTGTGCCTCACCTATATATTTTTACTATAATCAATGCCTCTATGTTACAGTAGCTGAAATATACAGATGCTTTGTCCTTTAAAATTGGTAGCTAACCTCTTCTTTCAATTCTCAACGAGAATGACTGAAACCCTCTCTCCAAAAAAGTACAGCCTATCACATCTTATTCAACTAGATAGTTTAGCAAGTGACTGCACAAAATCTAAAATCCTCACAGCTCTTTCACTGTTATGAATGAAAATGTAATCCAAAGAAGGTGGATAATCAATTTTTTGTCTTGTTTGTTGAATGGGGAGGTTTTATTAAGAGCTGGATTTAGAAAATACAGACCCTAGGCTTCTGTGGTGTGACAACATGTCCATCATAATAAAAATACCCCCGCCTCAGAAAACCTGCAGACTAAGCCAATTTCCATTTGCCATAGGAATTTAAAATTTAGTAACTGTGATGCAGCGCGCCTCTCTGTGGCATAGGTCCTAAAGCACGGACACATATATCGCCTAGACTATGTTTAGGCTAGGCCTTGGTTGTATTTGTTTCATTTTCAAATCTACAATAACTTAATCTTAACAGTAGAAAAAATTTCAGGACTGTTTTATAAAGTAAATAAAAATTTTTACCTGTAAATAATACGAGTGTTACTAGCTGGGTCGTAGACTACATTTTTGCTAGGTATTTTGGAGTCAAAATTTCCAGTAAGGATTGGTTTGATTTTTGAGATGTGATCATCGGTCAAAGCTTGCACACTACAACACACAATATTAAACTGTGATTTTTTATTTGCAAGAATAGCTCAAAGGTTCTATCTATATATTAATTTTAAACTGTTTTTCTTTGTCATAGCTATTTTGAGAGAACGGCTGGGTGTAGAAACTCGGTAGAGGTGTCCAAAGAAAGGTCTTGGTCTGTAGATGAGCCATCAAAAGAGAAACATGGTGAATTCCCTTGGGGCTCTGCCCCAGTGGCCTTTAAATTCCCATCCCATGTTATTCTTATGGAGGAAAACGGGGGTTTTGTCATAGCTAATTTGAGAGAACGGCTGGGCGTAGAAACTTGGTAGGGGTCTCTAAAGAAAGGTCTTGGTCTGTAGATGAGTTATTAAAAGAGGAACTAGGTCAATTCCCTTGGGGTTCCGCCCCAGAAGCCTTTAAAGTTGCCTCTTCAGATTTGTTTACATTACGACCATATGCATAATTCTACACTACTTTTTAATGAAACAGCTGTTAATACTTAAATTGAGATTTATTGAATTTGTCAAAATGAGGTACAGTATTTGCAATGGGTTTTTCTGATTTTAAATTGGATTTTCTTCTGCATCGTGTCATGTTTTGCAATATAATGTTCTATTACCAAATCAGTGGAAAATCCTAATATCACAGTAACTCTTAAAATTATTTCTTTTGGAGTTAACTTATATCTATTGTATGGGTTGGTTTCTGCCTTTTTTACAACTTCTTGGAGATTGTACGTAGGTTATATTCTTTGGCATATTGCATCTGTAGACGAAACTTGGGTTGGTGTAATTATTAGAATGGAAAAGAGCGAGAAATCCTGGACAGTTTGATATAGGCTAAAAATAAAACTGAATTAACACTGTTCTACATTTCTTGAGCAATCATTGAAATAACCGATTTGCAAACAATGGAAACATAGAAAAAGTCATAGAACACAACCAAGTAGAAGAAATGGAAATAATGTTTTTTTTTTCATTTATAATCGTTATCATAGACAACGTAATGCGGCTATGAGAGAGAAGAATTTGTAGAAAACACTAAAAAAACAAGATCAGCTTTTTGAAAAAAGATAAGATATTTATAAAAGATTTTGATTATATTTAACTGTTGTGTAGATTGTGAGTATTTCCATAATCTTTGAGTCGCCTGTAATGCTTCGCAATTGCTCGAATTCGAGCAACAGGTACACGAGATCCATGCAGTGGTCCGAAAGGCAGTGCTCCGAAAGGCACTGGTTCGAAAATCATTTTCGGACTACTGCCTTTCTGAGTACTGCCTTTCGGAGCAGTGCCTGACCATGCTAAATCTGTCGGACCAGTGCCTCATCTCTGCATTATTTTCGAACCACTGCCTCTCGGACCACTGTCTTTCGGATCAGTGCCTGAGCGTGCAGATTGTTTCGAACCAGTGCCTTAGCAATGCATTCTTTTCTGACCACTGCCTTTCGGAGTAACGCCTGGGCTCCAACATTGGTTGAGGGAGGAGCAAGAACCGAAGGCGGAGACCCTTTGTAGGGGAAGGAGGGGGTGTGTCAGTGGTGGGCGGAGTCAGAATGCCACGGTCATTGACGAGACCTTCTCTGGAGGAATAACCCAGCACCACCGCGCCATCCCGAGCGCTTCCGAACCAATATAACGAATATAGCCGAGGTCAGAATATAACGCCTTATGTCGTCTGTCTGGAATCGGGACAGCGGAATTGAAATCGGAACGAAACATCGGAGCGATTTCTTCCAATCCCGAGCCTCCTTTAAACACTGATAGGAATAGATTAGTCGTTTAATGATGTTATATAATTAATTATAAACTATTTGCAGACCAATTATTAAAAGCTAAAAAATCCTATGTAAGCCAAACTAATCCTTTAATCTTCTTCAGTATATATTTATCCTTTAAAAAAATCTCCTATGTTTTCTGGAAAAATAAATAGTGAAATTCAATCTACCTATGGTTAGGCAACAGTTTTAAAGTAGTTTTGAAAAAAAAACTTTTTAGTTAAATGCAGAAAGCTATGTGGAAATAAATGATATTTTACATGTTTAGACACAATGCAGTAACAAGTAAGTCGATTTTTTCGTAAACATACCCCTTATTTTAATTAGGTACTGTTTATTATCTAAATTTAATTATGCCAGTTGTATAGCTCATTCCGTCTGATATGCGAAGTTAACATTGCTATTATTTTTTTAGCTTCTTAATTGAAATCAATGTGGCCTATCCAAAAACACCAACTTACCTAAGATTAGCAATATCCTATTATTAGAATGCTACGGTAATAACTTATTCTCTTTTGGGAAACTTGCTAAAATTATATCCAAGTGTTGGTATTGATTACTATTTATTAGATCTCGTTCGTTTGTTTTTTAAGATAACGATACATTATTGTTTAATGCACCTGTTTGAAAAGAAAACTTACAGTTACGTTACCTATAGGAAGGAACTTAGCATTTCATTTATTCCCGTAGGAATTAGATTATACAACACAGTATAAATAAATATTGATGATGAATAAGTCTTTTTATTTCGGTTGGTCGCCTACGTTTAATTCCTTTTAAAGACTAATAACTGGAAACATAAGATAGCAAATGAGAGACACCATAACATAATATCTAACCAAATGCCAAAATAAATATTACAATTTTAATTCATTATAGGCTACTTTGAATCCTCAAATGAAACTTAATTGGATGCTAGTTTCAATGAGTAAAGCGATTGCTACTGCTACAAGAAAATGAAGTAAACACATCTAAATACATTTTAAAATGTAGGTAGGCCTATTCAATCAAAATTCAACTCCCTTAACATATGTAAAACATAAATAGTTGTAAGTCCTCAAACAATAACAAAATTCGAATGTTAAAGTAAACGCGTAAAATTAATAAAGTGAATTATAATTAGAAAACTGAGAAGATAGAACAAAATTTGACACTCTCTTCTAACAGTAAGGGGTTGTCGTCAAGATGCTACCCCGACAACACGCCACCATCTAGAAAGTCGAAGTGTTGGGTTGACTTGTCCGGCCATTTAAGTGTCATACCAAAAGAATGGTAATTAATTATAATATATAGTACATTGTCGTTCTGTCCGCCAGTAATTTTAATACGGGAATGTTTGATTTCTTCATAAACCCCTTTGTACTGCCGTTGATTATGGACGCTAACTGAAAAAAGTGCATGTAATACACCATATATAAAAAGGGAACGTGACTCACATGATATTATTTCTTTGTACTATCCGTCACTAATTAACTGAAGCGACCCTACTGTACAGAAACATCATTTTCCTGCCAGCAGTAAGCCAATTACACTATCGTCGATTATAGGCGCTAACTAGAGCTACAGTTAAAAATAAACAAGGTATAGTACATCAACTTGTGACCTACAGATATACGAACTGTCAATTAAATTGTAATTTAAATTGTAATATATAACCAGGTAAAAATGTAGACTACGTGTTTCATGTAGTATACATGCAAAACCTTTTAAATTGCATTAGGTTTGTGACAGTATGGTTTAGTTTTATAACTCTTGATTTCAAAGAAGCCTTGAACGCTTGTAATTTTTTTAGTTAAGAAAAACATCCAGGATAACATTTTACTAAAATGTTTAGTTAGATATCTACTGGGGAGCGAGATGGTCTAATGGTAAGACCTGGGGCTCCGGAGTCTTATAGCACGGGTTCAAATCCCACCAATAACAAATGGATTTTATTTACGTGGTAATGCCACGACCCTCTTAGAAGTGTTGGGTGGACTTGTAGGTAGGCATTTAAGTGCCATACCAACAGTATTGTCATTAATCATAATCTATTGTACATTTTCGTACTGCCCGCCAGTACGCGGAAATGGGAACAACATTACCGCAACGATACGGAATCCGTCCAACGGCCTCGGTGGTGTAGTGGAAAACACGTCGGAAATCTGCAGGTTCCGGGTTCGAATCCCGCTAGCAGCACAAACTTTTTTTATCAAAAGTAGTTTTCATATCAGCATGTTTGGTTAAGTTATGACAGTTTAATTTCATAATAAAAAAATTATAAAATTGAATTTTAGGCGTTTATAATTTTATTTTATGAACAAAACTAATTTTTAGATTAGTAAACCTTTATTAGATTTTTTCATTATCAGCACGTTTGGTTATGTTGGTTAGGTTATGACAGTTTAATTTAATAATAGAAAAATTGTGAGATTAATTTTATAATTTTTCTTAATTTTATAATTAACTAATAGCATAGATAAAACATACTGCTAATAGTGAAGTAAAAATTACGCGCTGTGTTCTCTACTACAACACTGTTCACGGAGGAATTTTGAACTAAACTATGACGCCATCGTTGCCTCACTTATACTTCCCGTAAGTCAGACCCCTATATTTAACACTTGACTTATGATCCTGCACAGATGTAACATTGACTTTGGAATGGATTAAAATGCTTGCCCACTCAATATTGCAAGCAGATAATTGCATTTGCATTTACGATACCCAACTGGGAACAGTTCTCTTAATAATTTCTTTTAATAATTATCTACAGCCGAATCAAAAACATAAATCTACTAAGGGACATGCAGGTGAAATGTGTGCTGGTGCGGCACCGTAGCGAACGCAATTGGCATTCAAATATTTCAATCTGATGATTAACAAAAGAGCAGCGGTGATTGTACTACGTTACCCCGAGATTGAACGTAGTTCCCTGAAACACCCAAAGGTAGCAGCACTGCCTGGATCAGTATCAGTAGTAAGTGGCTTGAAGAGAGTTATTTTTTTAACGTGTGAGGTATATTTCCACGACGATTTGACTGGACTATTACTACTTTTCCACTTAACTAATAAGTTGGTTCTATGACATGCAATAGCATTAAAAAGTTATAAGGTTTACCAACAGGGTGCAGCACTATAATCTTTTGGTATCGATCGAGCATCCCCGGGCGGGGACACTACGCATTCCTGCGGATATCCTGGGATATCCCAGGTTGACCATAGGACTACTATGGGAGATCTTGCATATCCTGTCGTA